GTTATTTATTTGAGCATTTTACAAACATATTTTTCATTTTTACAAGGTTACACTGTTATAAAGTGGCTCAATATATGTCAACTTTGACATATATTGCATGGTTATGCCAATAGCAAAGCCATTATCGGGCATAACACAAATTACATAGAAATGACAGGCACATACTGTAAATGTTCCTAGGCGGCGGTGTGCCTGCATGCCCAGCAGGACTCACTTTTCCTGCCTTGAAGTCAAGAAGGAGCCATTTAAAGAGCAGAGGTGCTGTGATTGGAGTGGTATGTTGTTTTATGCTTTAGGCGCAAGGAGATGCTTGAAACGCATACATTTATAGAACAATAGTTAATAGATTTATACTCTGACGTGCACACACTCTGACTTGCTGTTGCTCGTCTCACTTTGTTTTCAGGGAGGCAGGCTGTGTGCAATTGTGCGGAAAGTTGTCACAGCATGTCAAATGTTTGTGATATTTTCTCCTGCAATGTACACAGCGGATTAGCAGAGTCCCGGCCCTCTGCCCCTTATGTGTAAACCATGTGTAAACGTGTGCGAGATTCCCCAGGAGAGGTTTTAGTGTTACATATGCTCCCCTCTGGCTGAACTGGCTCCATGAAAGATGAATGTTCCATGTTAGGCTCATGCCCAGACACACGAACACCTCATTCGAACAGTGGTTTGTGAATGCCCACAGAGGAAATGAAGACATGTAGCTTAGAGTTTGTAAAATTCATCATACAAACGCATTACAACAGAGCAGATCAGAAGAACACACATAAAGCCGGCACAACATAGTGAAATATTATGTGGGTTGAAAGGGAGCGACACAAAGGCAATGTACAATAACTTGTAATGTTTTGCAATAATGAAGAGTTTCTAGTAAAGACATCCGGGCCCTAATGACCGACAGCGAGGATACACAAGAACAAGACATAACTGAAAAGCACACGGATCGGAACCAGTTTAACGGCAAAGTGAAGGGGCAAAATCCATCTTGTGAAGACTCAAGCCTCTCTTATAAATGTAAATAATCTGTAATATATTAATGTTTAGTGCCTATGTGTCTCCTGTTATTGCCTGTTTTGTGTTGAGGACCGGTCTGGCTTGACGACCTTTGGACATAGCATCGGTTATTTCAAATATAGCAATGTTTTTTGTTCTGTACCTTAGATAAACTTCAAATAAAATAATACAAGGGACTACAATTAGAATTCAGTTCAGTGACCAAACTGGCAGCCATGTTGAGAAACTCCTGGGATGGTAGATCTTCTTTTGGTTTGATTACCAATTTGAGAACCAAAATACATAATGATTTTCTTAACAATGTGGCTACAAGGTCCAATGTTTTTGACATTGTGATCAGAAACGTCCAAATATGATTTATTGACCTTGTAACCGGAAGAGACACAAATACAATGGATATGAAAATACAATTCTCACAAGTTGAGTCGAACGTCCAGGGTCCAGGGTCCAGGCCACAGCAGGAGCTCGCACCAAATAGAGTGAACGAAAACTGTGTGTGTCTCATTTGTGGAACGACAACAGCGCAATGTGCAGCACCTACTCTACTCTACCTACCCTTCCCTACTCTACTACCTACTCTACTCTACTCTACCTACCCTTCCCTACTCTACTACCTACTCTACTCTACTCTCTACTCTACTCTACCCTTCCCTACTCTACTCTACCTACCCTTCCCTACTCTACTACCTACTCTACTCTACTCTACCTACCCTTCCCTACTCTACTACCTACTCTACTCTACTCTCTACTCTACTCTACCCTTCCCTACTCTACTCTACCTACCCTTCCCTACTCTACTACCTACTCTACTCTACTCTACCTACCCTTCCCTACTCTACTACCTACTCTACTCTACTCTACCTACCCTTCCCTACTCTACTACCTACTCTACTCTACTCTACTCTACCTACCCTTCCCTACTCTACTACCTACTCTACTCTACTCTACCTACCCTTCCCTACTCTACTACCTACTCTACTCTACTCTACCTACCCTACTCTACTACCTACTCTACTCTACTCTACCTACCCTACTCTACTACCTACTCTACTCTACTCTACCTACCCTACTCTACTACCTACTCTACTCTACTCTACCTACCCTACTACCTACTCTACTCTACCTACCCTACTCTACTACCTACTCTACTCTACTCTACCTACCCTACTCTACTACCTACTCTACTACCTACTCTACTCTACTCTACCCTTCCCTACTCTACTACCTACTCTACTCTACCTACCCTTCCCTACTCTACTACCTACTCTACCTTCCCTTCCCTACTCTACTACCTACTCTACTCTACTCTACCTACTCTACTCTACTCTACCTACCCTTCCCTACTCTACTACCTACTCTACTCTACTCTACCTACCCATCCCTACTCTACTTTACTCTACCTACCCTACTCTACTACCTACTCTACTACCTACTCTACTCTACTCTACTCTACTCTACTCTACTCTACTCTACTCTACTCTACTCTACTCTACTCTACTCTACTCTACTCTACTCTACTCTACTCTACTCTACTCTACTCTACTCTACTCTACTCTACTCTACTCTACTCTACTCTACTCTACCCTACCCTACCCTTCCCTACTCTACTACCTACTCTACTCTACTCTACCTACCCATCCCTACTCTACTTCCTACTCTACTTTACTCTACCTACCCTACTCTCTACCTATTCTACTCTACCTACCCTACTCTACTACCTACTCTACTCTACTCTACCTACCCTACTCTACTACCTACTCTACTCTACTCTACCTACCCTACTCTACTACCTACTCTACTCTACTCTACTCTACTACCTACTCTACTCTACTCTACCTACCCTACTACCTACTCTACTCTACCTACCCTACTCTACTACCTACTCTACTCTACTCTACCTACCCTACTCTACTACCTACTCTACTACCTACTCTACTCTACTCTACCCTTCCCTACTCTACTACCTACTCTACTCTACCTACCCTTCCCTACTCTACTACCTACTCTACCTTCCCTTCCCTACTCTACTACCTACTCTACTCTACTCTACCTACTCTACTCTACTCTACCTACCCTTCCCTACTCTACTACCTACTCTACTCTACTCTACCTACCCTACTCTACTCTACTTTACTCTACCTACCCTACTCTACTCTACTTTACTCTACCTACCCTACTCTACTCTACTCTACTCTACTCTACTCTACTCTACTCTACTCTACTCTACTCTACTCTACTCTACTCTACCCTACCCTACCCTACCCTACCCTACCCTACCCTACCCTACCCTACCCTACCCTACCCTACCCTACCCTACCCTACCCTACCCTACCCTACTCTACTCTACTCTACTCTACTCTACTCTACTCTACTCTACTCTACTCTACTCTACTCTACTCTACTCTACTCTACTCTACTCTACTCTACTCTACTCTACTCTACTCTACTCTACTCTACTCTACTCTACGCATCTAGGGAAATGTATTGGTAACCATGGCTTCCAGCAGCACTGTCAGTTATAACACTTTAGTACCAGCTAGGCCTGGCCCTGGATAGAACCAGGGCCAAAAGGGACAAAAGAAGGACCTGGTACCAGTTAAAAAGGGCCAGTATAAACACCAATCAAAGTAAAGTACAGTAGAGCAGAGTAGAGCAGAGTAGGGCAGAGTGGGGCAGAGTAGGGTAGAGCAGAGTAGGTCAGAGTAGGGCAGAGTAGGGAAGAGTAGAGTAGAGCAGAGTAGGGCAGAGTAAGGCAGAGTAGGGTAGAGTAGGGTAGAGTAGGGTTAGCGTAGGAGGGCTAATGGAAACGTTATCATGCCACCGAGCAACAACATAAAACAGCAAAGTCCTCCAAGACGACTGCTGTTGTGATTTAGGGCTGTACACAAATAGATTGAATTGAATATAATTGAAAAGAGCCTTAAAAGGGCACAGGGGCTGGAGAAAGAGTTATAAACATGGTGAACTTGTCAGTGGCTTCTCCCCCCACACCTCTGAGAACTGAGGCTGAGATTTAAGAGCAGTTCAAGTTCACATCCACATCGGCCTCGTCCTCAGAATTAGTCAGCAAACGTGCCCTGACAGCCCTCATGTGTATGAATGAGCGTCTGCCGGCACGGGGAGCCAGCGAGACAGACAGGAGAAAAGTGGTTGGCTGCATTCATTAATAACAGAATGCCTCACATGGGGGCGATGTATGCAAATGTATTCTCTTACATGGGTGTCTACGGCAAATCTTTGAATCAGAACCACAAGTCGATATTTGTGTGAGGCTGGGCGTTCTCAAATTACCTCAGATTACTGCCTGCTACTAGAGTTGCTGGGCTGATCGAAGTTCATTTGCATTTAGCGGATGGGCAACTTTAAGTGTTTCCCCCCTGTGGTCTTAAGTCTGGAGACTTTCCCCACTCAAAACAACTGTTTAACAGTAGGAGGAGAGCTGGCTAAATGCATGAGAAAAAAGGGTCAGGAGATAAAAGCAAGACCTAAAGTTGCCTCCAGCTTCCATTGTCAAAATCAGAAGTATGCACAATATGAGAAGCAAAGCAGGAAAAATCAACAACAGAATGAAAAGATTCCAGGAATTATTATAATTCATTATATGCATGTGTACCCTGATGGTAAACTACACACAAAGATGGAACAGCAGCTGTGAACCAACATGATCAGGTGATATATATATGGATAAATCATCATATCTAAAATGCAAAGCACTTTAAGCCATCTGCTGTGTTCAGGATACCACACATTAAATCATACACAGGATCCTCACCGTGAGAAAACATTCTCCAGCATCAACCACTGGCTCTGCTTCACAGAACAGAGCTTAGTAAAACTACAGGGAAACTGTATGACCAACAGAGGTTTGATCTTTGTACTTGGTGCCACATAAAAGGCTTTTCAAAAAGCCATAGCACATCCAGAGCAGTTTAGTGACAATACTTAAAGCAAAGCTATTCTCCCTGGCTCTGTTAGAATCAAATCTAGAATCTGCAGGCACAGTGCAGGAAGCGACCACTCACCAGCTCGATGAGCTCCTGGTAGCACACCTGCCCCTCCTCATTGCTCTGGACCAATGCTAACAGCATGTCCAACTTGGACGGGTCCAACTGCAGCTCATGGTGCTCCACCAGGCTGGTGAAGTTCTCCACTGGGATGAAGCCGGTGTTCTCTGGGTCCAGCTGAAAGACAAAACCATCGAACCATCAGAAAATCAATATTATACTTTGAATACAAATTTAAAACATGGAATTCAGTCAAACACAGGAATATGATTGTCTTCAGATCTGAAATGTTCACTCATAGATGAAGAACGTTCAACCAAACGACTTAAATAACAGTAATGTGTTGAAGGCTGGAGCTCAGGACAGTTAGAGGAGTTCATTTAACTATGTGGCATTCTGAAGCCTTTGAAAGAATCAGTCCAGCCTCATAGAATCCCCATTGAACCTCATTAAAGCTCCACTGCCAGAGGAAACAGCAGGCGCTCGGTGTGCAGCAACACTGATGTCATTCGAAAACGCAGTGACCTGCACTTTCTCACACCTCTGAATATGCTCCAGTCTGTGTTTCTTTAAGCAAATATTAGAAATGGTCTGAAGTCCTGATTGTTCTTTTCAGTGTGTGTTTTGGTGACTTCACCAGAAACAGCTCTATAAGGTTAAGGCTGTAATTGTATCCATGAGTGCATCGTGGACATCAACTAATGTCCAACAAATAAAACACACAAAAGAAACATTGAAGAGAGACCTTCGGTGTTTTCAAAATGTTTACTCAGCCTCATTAGACTGTTTCCGATACTAAACACTGTGTCCTGTGGCCTGGTGTGAGCTTTCAGAGGTTGCATCAGAGTGAAGTCAGTGAAGCTCAATCAGCACGGTCCAAGTGGAGTGCGCTGTGATTGTTGGTCTGGGAGGCTGACTAGAGTTAGCCCAGATTTAACAAAGGCCTTTCAGCATCAGCAAGAGAGGCTTCTGACCCCATGCTGCTCTGAGGCAGAGCTACAGAACTACAGGGGGCTCACTGTGTTCAACCCCACTCAGCTTTGGGGAAACTGTATCCTGCATGTTTTTATAGCAGATGTATTTTGGAAACTTTCTACAGAAGTCTGCTCTGTATTGAATGATTGTACTTCATGTATAGATACCTAACTGTGTTTTTGAGGTGTTGCACTGTGTGACATCACTCGAGTTTTCATGGTTTTACTGAACTGCATTCAGTTGTTTTCATGTACAAATGTCATGTTCCTAACTTTCAGTTCAAGTTCAAATTTTCCGTACATTTAGTTTCAACATTAGGTTTGTCTGCCTTGCCGTATTGTTTTACAGTCCATCCATTTGCTTCTGCTCTATCCATTGCTGGGTCACGGAGCACCTGTATAAGCAGACTTCCCTTTCCACACACATCCTCCAACTCATTCAGGGGAATCTTGAGGCGTTCCTAGGCCAGCTGAGAGACACAGTCCCTCCAACATGTTCTTCCCCTGGTCTCCTCCTGATGGGACATGCCCAGAACACCTGCCCAGGGAGGCATCCCAAACAGACGCCCGAGCCACCTCTGCTAAGGAAGGGACCAGCAACACTGCGGAGTAAACTCATGTGGACCGCTTGTGTTCGCGACCTCATCCTTTTGAGGATCAAACTCAATCAGGAGAGCTGAGGGAGGGGACGAAGACTGAAATGAGAGCTTTTCAACTCAACTCACTCTTCACCACAACTATTGTTTATTTACTCACTTATTTCATCTGCTATGACCTTCAGCACTTTGAAAACTGTCCATCCATTTTCTACCCTTTAATCCATTTCTGGGTCAGGGGGTTGACAATCAGAGATGCCACCCAAGTCTCATAGCACCAGCCCCTCACTGACCCTCTGCAGGTGGTGAGTCCACAGGAGGACGGCTGCTCTCTGAGTGTGAGCATAGCCTTGATCTTTCAGTGGGGGCTTTGGGCAAAGTGGGGTTAAGTGTCTTGCCCAAGGACACAACGACAGGAGTCATCAGTCGGAGTCGGTGGAGAAGGTGTAGAGGGGCGACAGTAGCTCAGTTGGTAGAGGATTGGCCTTCAGGCCTGAAGGTTGTGGGTTCAATTCCCACCTCTACACCTTCTCCACCGACTCCCACTTTGAAAACTGGCCTGTTTATAAATCGTGTAATATAAATAAATTGGATTGGACGATCTTATACTGATTAAGGTTCCTGACACAAACAAATTATCGTTGGTTAAAGAAACACGTTTCTATTTTGGTATAATCTGTGTATGTTGTATGGGTTGTTGTCATGACCCATTTTCTTCCCTTGAGGCTCAAAAGAAATCTCACTGAAGCTTGTGAAGAGGCAGAGAAGGGGGAGAGCGAAAGCATGAGAAGGAAGAAGTATCCAAGGCAGGGGGCTGGGAAAATGAGAGATGAAAAATTGTGGAATTAGGCGCACTGTGGAGGGGAGGAAGAGGCAGCAGAGAGTGAACACAAATGCCCTGATGCTGCTACTGCTGCTGCTGCTGTTTGTCTGTTTTGGGACCATCCTAAAGATTAAGATATAGATGGAAAGATCCTTTCGTCCTACAGTGGGGAAATGTCAGTGTTGCATCACCAGTTACAGAACAGTAGGATAAATGAACAATGACTCTATACTAAAATTAAAATTAAATCTCTATCTTTAGCCAGACATGTCAAACTCAAGCCCTAGGGTCAAATCCGGCCCATAATACCATTTTTAGTGGCCCCTGAAATGATTTTCAACTATTACATTAACTTGAAACATTTGATGGAAGTAGAAGTAGGCTTCTATGGCATATTATACTTGATTTTAAATTTTATCTTAGGAAAAAAATAATAACTTAAGCTGTTCTGAAATGTTAACAAACTTAGTAGTAATTAAACTATCAGTCTAAAAAATCTCTTCTGGATAATTGGCACGGTTGTGGTTGAGTCTAAACCTCCCAGAAAATAATATACCACCTCATGTCAAATAATACTTTTGGCCCCAATCAGCTCTTATGTTTTTAAATGGAAGGAGGCAAGTCTAAAACCTCCAAATTTAGCATAATGAAGAAGCAAGAATTAAGACTAAAATTGCTGACTTTAAACTAGAGCGCACCAGCCTTTGCTCTTCAATTCAATAAGGACAGACTCCAGCGCTGCACAGCCACTTGCCACAGAGGAGAAATATATCAGATTCTAAATGTGCTCCTCGCTTGGCCCGGGCTGACAGTGAGAACACAGAGCCGCTCGGAGGACTCCAGATTACTGTCAGCCTCCATATGTCACATACAGCTGCGACGCATAACCAGACATAAAGACGCGCTGTGTAGGCCCGCGTGTGCAGTTAGCGTTGACGTGGAACTGTCAGGCCCCTCACACGGCACTCTCCGCCCCTTATGGAGGCAGATCGGCGAGGGTGGAGGCCGCTCTTGTAGCCAATTAGGGTCATCTCTCTGTGCTGTGCATGGGAGGTCTGGGATTTTTTTTTAACCCAGACTGGCAGATAAGAGGAGCAGAGAGCGCAAAAAAAGTGGTTATTGAACAATCCGACACCTGCAAATACAACACTTCGCAAGGTTGCCGTGGAAACCGGTCACCCTTGTGTCATCTGTCTGTGTTCAACCCTCTTTCCTTTACTCTCAACCCAAATGCTCCGAAGGTTTTAAAGTAGAAGGAGATGATGACAAAGGGGGGTGAATGTGGCATTAGATCAGGGGTATCCAAACATTTTAGTAAGAGGGTCACTTTAGCTTGACGCCATTGTCCGAGGGCCGACAACACGGATTGTAAAAGGGTAGTCGCTCGGACTTCGCTTTAAAATGATGTATGTCCGTATTGATTCTTCTGACGGAGCTGAAGTCAACTGAAGCCAAATCTCACCAGCTACAATAGCGCCATATTTAAACTGTTGTGACACAATCAAAACAAATACATCTTGAACTTTATAAAGGTGAAGCTGAAGATGGCTGGATGACACTATGACCTTATGTTTGCAAAACATGTGTCCACTGTCACTTTACTGAGTCCTTTTGTCGCAGAGCCTCAGCTGCTAACATGTACAGATTTACAACTATATATATATGCACTAAAATATATAGAGTAATTATACACTTGCTTCTTTTTTCAGCTAAAGTCAGAGATTTTATACTTAGTTCTTTATTCGTTATTGTGCTAAAGTTTAAACATTTAGATTTGCTTCTATGTTATGCTAGAGTTTGAGATCTTATTTCATTTTAGAATAGAGTTATTGTTCACTAATCTTTGTGAGTTGTGTGCGCCTCATTCCTACTGCTCTGTAACTGTCGATGCAACACTGACATTTCCCCACTGTGGGACGAAACAAAGGATCTCTTAATCTTAATCTTAATGTTTGATTTGATTTGATTGCTTTATTTTGAGCCATACAAAATTATAACATTCCCCACCATACAGAAAGCATTGCACCCACTTACATGGGTAACAAGAACATTAAGAACAAAACAAAACGGTACAGGGAGGATCTGTGCAAAATATATTATAATTATATATTTTTTTCCATACAATGTTTATAATCTCAATGGGCATTGGTCAACTCCCCCTACGGCCCAAGACTCATGTGTTGTATATTTTTTGTGTCTTAACTGTTGATTCTCTGATCTGTGTTGACTAATTCAAAGGTTTTGTTAAGTCCTCTGAGATGACTACTGTTGTGATTTAGGGCTATAAAATAATAAATTGAATTGAATTGCTAGCGGCAGAGGGCCACATAACATGATACTGAAAGCCACAATTGGCCCGCGAGCCTTGGTTTGGACATGCCTGCTTTAGATGAAGAGTGGCTAATGAGATCTGGAAAAGGCGCTACTCCACTTCTGGGCCTCGGTGCTGGAGCCAGTTCGCGGTTATGGATGGAAGGTGGAGGTGCTAAGTTGAAGGAGTAAGTACATTTCAGTCTCAGGGGAGTGTAGGCGGGGGAAGTATCTCCCTGTTAACCCGCAGGACCTCTATTACCGCCGCAGTGGAGATTGTAACAGACCCCCGCCATTGGCTTGTTACCAGAGCAGCTCAGGGGCCTCTCCACGGCCAACCATGGGTTAAATGAGACTGTCATTCTTGGCCTGGCACAGCTGTTACCCAACTAAGTGATGTGCAGTAGAAAAGTGACTATTTATCTTGTGCTGTGTGCTCCTCATTCCTACTGCTCTGTAACTTGTGATGCAACCCTGAAATTTCCCTACTGTGGGACGAATAAATCTCTCTCTTAATCTTATGCAAGAAAAAAAGAGATATAGAAAGAAGGTTCTATATAGGTTCTAAGGAAGAAGGTTGTGTTGATGTAGTAGAATTTCTATTTGTATTTTGAGAACCAATATAGTTTTATGAGAAATAAGCAATAAGAAAAGAAAAAAAATAACAAAAAATCCCAAGACCATTATCTGATAGAAATTAGATCGAAAAAGCTGCCATATAATTCTTCTGCCTTCCAGTTCTTTCTACTGTTCAACATCAGACATATATTTGAATATTGTCACCACTTCTAGACACCTTTATGAGGAAATAATGAGACCATATTGGTATGTAAGAAGATGTGGAACTGTGGGACAGTTTTTTTTCCCATGAATTGTTCCAGGAATGATGGAGAAATGAGCTCTAAACTAAAACTTTAAACCTGAATATGAATATGAATTTCCCCTTCATATTCCTCCATGCTTTAAAATCACTTGCAAAATCTTTGTAAGTGACCCAAATACCCCTTGCTGTTTTCCTCACATCCTTTGACAGTTACCAGGACATGTTTCAGCTGTCTTCACCACAATGTTAATCTTTAGGCTCATTGAAACATTGTGATGTCACATGAACACAACCTATTGAAGTAGAAAACATTAAGAAACAGCAGAAGTTCTGAATCATCTACAAACCAGAAAACTGCTGTGTCTGGTTTGTACCCAGACTTTCTCCCCTTCGACACCGAGCAGTGGCCCTGTGCCAACATTCCGGTCTCCGCTGGTCGACACAGAGCAGAGGAACGGGCTCTAATCAAGGACTCAGCGGCATTTACGAGGCACGTGTTTGCATCAGATAAAACCCTAAAAACAGCTCTGCTCCCCTGAAGACTAGATGGTGTTCACTAAAACCTGCCTGCTGCAACCACTGCCTACCATGTGAGACTATATATAGTGCCCAGAACTACATTTTACTACAAATATATTCTTATTCTTAAGTAAGTAAGTCATCTTTATTTATGTACCGCCTTTCACAGACCAGAGTCACAAAGCGGTTTGCAATTGTTATTTTTTTGTCTCTCACTCCACACAGAGATGGGAGCGGGGTCGCCAGAGTACAGGAGGCGCATGCCAGACCTATTGTGCATGTTTTTAGTGGTAGCACCCAGAGGAAACCTACACAGACACGGGGAGAACATGCAAACTGAACTCAGAAATTTAAGGCCCTGTTCCAACCTAGATTCGAACCAAGGACCTTCTTGCTGAGAAGTGAGAGTGCTAACCACTCAGCCACCGTGCAGTATTCTTGACAAATGTAAGACAGCGAGTATCATCAGTGCTATGAGGCTGCTGTGTCTTCCACTTCTGGGATGAACTAAAGTGATACAGCACAACCAGCAACAAATATTACACATTTTGAGCTAAGTTACTACAATCCTAAATGAATTGCATTGTAGACAGGCCTTTTAGATCAAAGAACTGGAGACAAGAGGCATAGGGTCCGGAGAGAGAAAGAGAAAACACACTGTCAGCCAGAAGTGAGTGATATGGTTCACACTTGAGCCAAATAGGACTGCGATGTGTTTGGAAACTATCGATAGACACAGACAGAGTAAATCTGTGGATCAATGAGACATGAACAATTCACAGGGCTACAAGACCTTTTTCTCTGTGAATAGTAAATAAATGGATATTTCTGAGTCAGCGACTTTAAAACACACCAAAATGTGTCAGGGATGGAGAGAGTCTGACACCATAGTGAGCATTCAATACTGACTCAGAGAAACCACATGGGGATCCTGCTCCTGTTGTACAAACATTCATAAAACTGTCTGCCTCGGGTTACTTAGACAGTTCATCAATGCTCGCCAATGGACATTCATGACCCCCCCTAAACCCCACCACTGATCATCGATTTATCCCTCCTGAGCTAAATGATGCCCTCTGCATCTGTAAATCTGCCTTAAGGCTAAAAATCCTCCAAAATAGCCGAGGTATTGGGACTGCCTTGAGAGACACAGGAGTGGAGTGGGATCACGCGGGGAACCTCAAGCCAAAAAACACACGTGCTGTGACCGACATTTCTGTCTTAGGACAATTTGGTTTTGTAAACATAGGAGTATTGTAAACACAGGATTTTGGTTTTGGTTACATTTGAACAAGAGTATATCTGAGAACCTACAGTTAAAAATGGCTGTCTTAAGAAACAGAGGAAGGAACTTACATCTGGTCACATTATTCTTTCTGTTTCTGAAATGATAAATTTATTTGACACATGTGTAAGAAAAAAATAATTGAGTTGGAAGTAAAAAGATTGAGAAACAATGATTTTGATGAACAAACAACACAGCCACAGGGGCCATCTCGACACTCACGCCCCTTTCTCTCAAACATGACAAGCATACCCCCCTCCTACTGATCTCCAATGCTTTGACCTGGGTCTAATCCATCTCTACTCACATTCATCTCGTCGTCGCTCATATCTCCGCTGCTATCAGCTACCCGATACCACCAGCAGCATTCAGGTACCTCTCAATTCCTGGATGTAGACAGTGAGGTGGCCACACAGAGCCCTGTAACCATAGAAACCTCCACCACTGCATGCTACGGGTCTGGTTCCATTTACGTGCGTGCCTCCAGCCGTGCGCTGCTTACCTGCTCTTGTATGAGCTGAAACAGGGAGCTTCTATCCATATACTGGCCAGGGAGGTGAGAGGAGTCGCGGAGGACAAGGGCATAGGGAGGCGCGCCGCGGGATGGGACAAGGTGCTGAGGGGGAGATTTGGCTGAGGTAGCAGCTGTCGTTGCCTAAATTGCAGGACCTCTTGCCAATGATAGAGAAAGCATTGCTCCGTGGTGACACTACACAAAGATATACGCAAAAGAAAAAAAAGTGACGAGGACTTTGTCACCCTAGCGTTTTCTGCTGATAACGGATAGACATGCACAGGCAGCCAGGCAAAGCAGGACCAGCAGCTCTCATTCACTCTCCTCCTCCTCTTCCCTCCTCTAGCCCATTGCACTGACTGCAACCTTACTCACTCTCCTCCCGTCGCGGCGCACTGCTCGCATGCCAATGAGGCTCAGGGGGAGGGAGATGGCTTCGTACGACCAATCCTGCCCCACGAATAGGAGTGGCTAAGTGCTGCAGCTCCTCTCCTTACTACGAATGAGGTTTCTCGCGGCAGGAGCGAGGGGATGGGCTCCACTGCGGCTTTGGGTTTACAACTAGCACCACATCCACACGTCCACACGCTGGCATGCTGCACACAAACACACACAAACACAAAAGATAGGCCTACCAATAATTCACAAATGACTTCCTCTTAATTATGGTAACACCTGCTAATACATCAACTTATCCCCGCAAACTAGAAATCTTTTATCCATAAGTGTGTGGGTCAAACATAACTGGTTACTTGTACGCACTGCTGCACATTCAAACCTCCAGCCCACACTCACAGACAGAATCAGGCACAATCACCAGTGAGCCAAGATAACTGGGGGAGAATACACAATAGTTCATTAGTCGTATTGCAAGATGTGGTATGCAAATCTGAGGCCTAATGGAGGAAGTGGCATGCAGCAAACAGAGCACAAAGAGCAGTGTATTAAAATTATAAAAAATAAAGTGGACAAGCTGCACTAGGCGATAGGACTCATTATAAAAACGTCACCAGAAATAACTCTGCATACATTTTCTGAGGGAATATGTCTGCGATGAGCCCATCTTCTTAAGACATCGTGTAAAATCATAAACAGCAGGTGTTGGATTCATGTACAGACTGATAATCAGACAATCACAGCACCATCCACAGTCTCTACCCTGGATTATCCCACATTATATTCATTATCATAAGGCTGAGTGGAGTTTGCATGTTCTCTCTGTGTCTGCTCCAGTTTCTTCCGGGTGCTCCTATTTCCCCTACCATGAAAAACATGTACATTAGGTGAAATCCATCACCATGTGTTGGTATGTAAATATAACACATGGTGGAACTGTTGAAAATGCTGTATCTTGAGTGTATATTTCTGTGTGTAGATATAGTTGCATGTGTATACTGTTTTAACACACACACATGTAATAAAACATTCTATATATCAAACGTTTTCCATAAACTTAGGAATGTCCATCCATCCATTTTCTCACCCTTAATCCATTTCTGGGTCAGATCTGCACCCAGTCCACAGAGCACCAGCCCCTCTCTGATCCTCCTGCAGGTGGTGAGTCCACAGGAGGATGGCTGCTCTGTCAGTGAAGATACAGCCTTGATCTTTCAGCAGGGGCTTCAGGCAAAGTGGAGTTACAGTTTCTTGCCCAAGGACACAACAACAGCAGACATCAGTAGGAGTCGGTGGAGAAGGTCTTGTGGGGGGATCGAACCCACGACCTTCAGGCTCGAAAGCCAAAGTTCTCCCACCTGAGCCACTGTCGCTCCTTACTTGGGAAAATCAGGAATGTAAATATTGTAAATCAAAAAAATCAATCAATCAAATCCAGCTCTGGTCCATCCACATCTGGATATGAGCCCCTGTTACCATGGCGACCACTGCTCCTGACAGAAGCCCTGAAGGATGGGTCAAATGCAGAGGACACATTTCTCTACAGAGACAATAAAGTATAACTTAACGAAACTCAAATTAATATATTCAGACTGTAAAAAGACTGAAAACACAATTAAAAATGAAGGCTTTTGTTGCTGGACTGATCAATCACCATCAATCCATCCATTTTCTTCCCCTTAATCCATTTCTGGGTCGGGGGGGGGGGGGGGTGGCAGTCAGAGCTTCACCCATTTCATAAAGCACCAGCCCCGTTTTGACTTAAAATGAACAAATATCCAACACAGATCATGTGCTTACAAAATCATATGGATTATTTTCAAACCCTAAAAGGAGACCCAGACTGAGGAGGATAGGAGACAGAGGCTGCATCAAAAAATACGTAACAATAATATCTAGTAATAACTTCCACATGTATCCTCACTGTGGCCAGATGTCAACAAGACTCCTCACCCACTGCCGGTCTGTGAGCATCTTTTTGCTGTGGTCAGTCCAGCCAAGAGAACTCTGATGCGCCCTATTGAGTTCGATCCAAGTAATTCAGCGGAGGATCAGCGGACACCATCTCTCAAAACCGAGTGACCCCTGGACCCTCCTAGACCGAAAAAACAAGATTCAAGAGATGTGGCTGTACAGGCTGTGGCCTTGGTCCTCCTTATGCTTAATTGTAAATAATAGAACATTTCTGTAAATTGAAGTGGAAGCAGAGGTCCTCAAATGAATGAAGGCCAGTGTTACCAAATATGTCTCCAAGGCCTTTTTCATAAGCTTACTTTCAGATTATACATTGATTTTTCATTGGGGCAAATCTGGCCCTGGTGCTTCAGACTTTGGGAACGGCTGTGTCCGTGTATAACGCCGAGGGTAATTGGTGCAGCCCATCGAGAGCATGGCATGGCTCCCAGAAAGGGCACCTTCAGGCCAAGGCCAACTGACATTCTTGTTTCAACAAAAGCTTTAAAATGACGCGTGAGTCTATAGAAAAGAATTATTCCTCTGTGTGGCTCTGTTGTAGCAGACTCACTGCCCCTAACAAAATAAATCTAATTAGAAGGTCACTGCTGGAGGATTAGGAAACAGTATGTGAACGACATTGGAAGAAGACTCTAAATAGCAGTGGATGGGCTGTTACCATAGAAACATCAAACAATTTTAATCAAAAGACTGAGTGCCTTGAACTAATACAGTCATGTATGTAGTTCTGATGAACTGGTCTTTTGCAGCTGCCACATTCTCAGATAATCAGACATGAAAATCTGTTCATTTATCATTTATCTTTCTGGTGTCCTAGAGACACAGACTGAATAAATGGTCTTTATTGAACAGAAGTAAACTCTTTCTGCTGAGGGACAAAGATGCAGCATCTACATCCACAGATTATGGTGAACGTGTTTAAACAAGACCTCAGAGCGTTGGAAAACGCTGTTTTCTGTGTGAAGAAGAAAAGAACTGGTCAGAAAGAAAACACTAAAACAAAGTGCTTCAGTCTAAATGAGCTCAGGGGCCTTAGGAATAAGTGAAAACTGGAGCTGGAAGTGGATCCTGTGGAAGACATCACCTTCTGACCTACAACAGGTCCATTTAAACTCCTGGTTTCTGCTGTAATCATCAACTAAATGACAGTCGATTGGCTTTAAAACATCCAATCATGTGACCTAGACCGGTGGAGCTCTGTTCAATCTCTACATCATATAGAAATGATCCAGGTGTCAGTGACAGCAGTAACTATGAAGCCGGCATTCACTCCATCTTTCTCCATCTTTCCTTGTTTCTCAGTTGTTTTTTGTTGTTGAATTTTCTATTCTTTTACAATGTGACGTTGTCAGTCTTTTGTGATGTCTTTCTCTGCTGTCAGAAACAAAGACATTGTTGGCAATCTCCTTCTGTCGCGTTAAATCAGCAACAGCAACAACCCTCTAAGACACTTCCACAATCAAAGACCAACACCTGACTCAAACCTTGACAGAGCTTTGAACTCGCTCAAAAACAATCCTTCAGGAAAGTTTTACAGTCTTTCACTAGAGGCTGTTGGTTTATCACAGCTGACAGATGAAGCCTGGATCAATCCAACTTTGGCTATATCCGAATTCAGCAAAAAATACACTTTCTTGTCCATCCTTGTGCTTTAATAGTGACATTCATGAGACAAGGTACAGCTCCAGGTTTGGCCAAGTGCAAATCAATAACTTTTTAAAATTGACGGCCTCAAAGGTCCTTAAAAATGGCGAAGGTTAGGAGAGGAGTTAACTTACTGAGTTGGTCTCCGAGAGAGTGAGAAGTGCGAGGATAATAAATAAATGAATTGTTTAAGTAATTAAAATAACATAACCTATAGATGTATCTGGGTGTTTCAGGCGTGTGAGCATTTGGGAAAGAGAACTCGGCAGTGAGAAAATAGTGAAAGAGTTGACGTGTCTGGAATATACTGATAGAATTTTTAGGCCCAGTGAAGGAACTTAGATTGGCAGATGATCCGTCTGATGCAGGGTCGATTTAAAGGTTTGACTCTGCCTAGAACCTTATGAAGAGAGCTAGAAAGGAGAGCTTTTCAAGTTCTCTTCAAAAGGTCCTGTTGCCTCTTTGCTAAGTGTTCTAAGTGCACGTACAGACCGAGGGATCAGCAGCAGAACAGCAGAACACGAAACAGGTCAGTGAATGACACAGATTTAACCCAAACTGCTCCACTTAGAACATCTCTTGGGAAGACAAAACTGAAGCATACGGTGAGTGAGCTTGAGGAAGCACACTGGAAGCATCACGGCAGAACACATGTAAAACAGAGAAAATGTATATACAGATAATAGATTCATCATAGTTTAAAGGTGTATGCAATAAAAAAGATAGAGCTCTGTATTCAAAGAGGAGCTAGAAACTCAACTCAGCCTCTTACACATTCTCCATTTGGATCATTCCATCCCAGCACCAATTCAATTACCTTCAGGTGTCTCTTGTCTGATTAGTAACACATTATTCTATTGTCAACCCACATCAAATATGATCAAAGGTTAGACTGACACAACCAATCACCCAATAAAATGTCATAATCCATTAGACATAAACTACTCTACTCTCGCTATATGATGTGTGGCTATTTGTGTGCTACTGCCCTCTAGTGCCAACAGCTCGACTCACAGACCATTTAGAGCTACAAGAAAAAAAAGTCCAAGTTTCCACAAATAAAACAATAATTGTGTCCAAAGGTATAGATTAGTAAATGGGAAATAGGAAACTAGTACATGTGATCAATATTTATGTTTTTGAGATTTATTCTAAAAGCTGTCCACTTTAGATAAGTAGCAATAATAATAATAATAGTGATTAAACAATGATTTTATGGTTGCAACATAAGAAAAAGACGAGATTCCAAAGTATAACAGCTACTAGCGAGACAACGAATGTAACTAAAAAAACAGAATGACAACAGCTATCGATACTGTTCAGGCTTTTCAGGTTTTTCCTCCTGGCGCAAGAATGCTGAGCGACCACTGCTCCTGACAAAGTCCCTGGTGGCATTCAGGATGGGTCAAATGCACAGGGGCAATAAAGTAATCCTTAACCCTTTATACTTCACATAAACACACACAGTTTAGTCTCTTCTCTCTATAACCAGGCTAATCTTCAGAGTTCTGACTGGACCAGGGCTTTACATACAGGTGTGGCCTCTCACTGTACAGGGACATTGTATACATTCAAGGTTACAAACACTTTAGAGTACTGTGAAAAAGCAATAATAATATATAACAAACAATATATTATAGGCTGTTTTTAGGGGCAGGAACATAATAAAGTAATGAGCAGCTTTTTGTTCTCAAAAACATTAACGCTTTGTAATTATTGTCCCAAATAGACCCATGTCATTGTAAACCAAATAGAGAAGTGTGGTATAGCTTCTTATATATATAAAGAGACTAATTAAAAATCCTTAAATCTACAGTTCAAAAACCCTTCAGACATGGTGTTGGATGTGTGTGTGTGTGTGTATGTGAGCGTGTGTGAGCATGTGTGTGTATGTGAGTGCGTGTGTGTGTGAGAGAGTGACCCTGGACATGTGCTTTACGGACCTTCAGTGAGGAGCGGCTCATGTGTGAGCTGGACTGACAACTGCCATCAGTGGAGGGAGGTGCACTTTCATAGTAAGAGAGAGAGAGAGCAGACAGAGTACCTTGGACAGTGGAGGTCTGTGTTGGTCCTGATGGAGTCAGACACCTGCTGCCAGACACATGTGTGCTCACAAGTGCTCACAAGTGCCACAGCCACCGGCACATGGCTCCCAGCTGCTGCAAAGCCACATGAAGCCACAACTGAAATGAACTGACACAGGAGTTTGTGAGAGAAGTCACTCAGGGTGCGTTCACACCTGCTCCTCTTGTTCACTTTAACGGGACCAATTCTCAGTCATTTGGGCAAACATTTGTCCACTTCAGTCAGTTTACATATTAAACAGATCTGTCCTTAAGTGAACCAAACATGGTCCAGTCAAAGCGAGCCATATAAACAAGTATCTATGCAGACATTTTCTTTAATCTTGTTTCTTACAATAGATACAGAATGTTATGGCTTTGCATTTTCCTCAATAACGGATTATCTTAGGTCATGTTTTACAATTACATTTATTTATGTAAATCACAACAGGAGGTGTCTCGGAGGACAACAGACACACTCTCTATGATATAAAACATAAATAATCCATTGTATGTGTACAATACTTGTTGTTCACCTAAAATTAAAATGGAACCAAACAGTGAGATTTGTATTGGGTTATGCTCATGGGTCTATAATAATATTGGTTATGCTACAGTCTATGTTGATGCTCCTGAAACGGAGGGGGATCTCGGCTCAACGTTTGCTGTAGAAGTCTTGTTGGATTTAGCTGCCCACTCCTGAGCTCAGGCTGCTCACCCACAGGACTCACACTCGCTGCACATTATTTACAGAAACAGGGCACACAAAAAAAAGAAATGGCATAAAACTAAACAGCTAATTTAAGCATTGACCCCTTTGATTATCACCAATCAATAATCAAACATGTGGGAATTGTATTTCTTTGTAATCTGTATAGAGTAGTGTCTATCCAGGTCTAAGAGATCCACAATTCTACTTCCCATAATTGCCTTTAATCAGATTAGTTGCATCCTTCTGTCAGTCTGCCCCAGGGCACCTGTGGCTACTGCAGTAGTTTGCCATTGCCATGTACAGAGTGAATGAAAAATGCCACATGAAGCGTCTTTGAGTGTCCAGAAAAGAACAATATAAAACTGATGCGTTATTATTATTATTATAATTATTAATGGTCATTACAGCCACATTACTCAGCCTCTCACCTGCATCCACGTGATCCACCAAACTTCAGCTTCGACACATGGAGACAAGAAGCACACATTCGATGTGTGCCAGTTTGCAAACTTAAAATAAACAAATGGAAATTATATATAAATAAATGGCTTTCATATTTTGTGTGCCATTATTAATACTACATACATTTCTAAAAATCTAAATTGCTTTTGGTGCAATCAATAAAAAAAGAATCAATCACTTCAAAATATGAGAAAAGTCATGCAGCATTGAGCCTGATGTACAGTCACATAATCAAAATGGCGCTTATGTGGAATGGGATCAAGCCTGATATAAACAGAGAAAGCGCAGGGAAATTAAAAGTTGTGTGAGGCTGGACTTGTCTCATGTGTCTTCCTCACCACAGCAGACCTCATCCTCATCATCAGGACATGATGAAGCCTGTTGTCCCTGATGCCGCTGCCTGAACAAAAGACAGCAGCACATCCCTCTGCCTGGACTCCAGTGCTCTGCTTATCCTCGGAGCTGGCGCCTAAAGCAGACACGGCTGACCCTTCCACATCCTACTACAGTGAAACGTGAAAGATACTGCTCATTACACACATCACTTGTTTAAAATGACACTTGCAGGTATTGCCAACTTTCCTGACAAAGGATCTGGAGTGCTCCTGCCATAGTGATGGGCAGAAGCCATAATGTGGATAAAACATCACTAATACAAATCCAATAAAGACAATATCACCCAGCACAGACGCATATTACCATCACAGATATCACCCATAACTTACACACCATTAAATGTTACTTATAAGGCATTAAACAGCGAATAATCTCGACCACGTCATTCAAAGTCAATGGTCGGACTGTGTTAGTTGAGAAAATGTAAGGTGTTATTAAAAGCGAAAACGACTTCATTTTTGACTCGAACTGCCCGCGTCCTGTTCAGCATAGATTACAATTTAATAGACATTACGAGATTTGTGCTGAAAACCCGTCTGTTTGGGTCAATTTCACGCGAATGGTGGAAAATCGTTCGCACCAAACGTTACTTCCAGTCGCTTTTCCCCGAATAAAAGTTGTTTGTGGCCGCGGACGTGACGAACCGACCACGGCCACTCGAAGCCCAATGCCCCCCCTACACACCGGGGGGGTCGTCTCATTCGCGGCGCGTCTCGTTTCTCCGAATGTGTCCGTAGTAAGAGGACGAAGAAACACAAACGGGACGGCGCCAGTTCCATGGACTCCGCTAGATCAGCTGCTGGCAGTTGGTGTTCTCCATCACGTCCGCAGCGCGCCTTCATACACCCGCACGCGCGCAGGGACCCGAGACGCGAAAGTGAATGAGACTTGAGCAAACTTCAGGTGTCCACTAGCTGCTTTTCATTTTTGGACAACACTGATATTTGTAGCATAGCTTTATTCTGAAATACATTTTTTATTTTTTGGAGATTTTTTTTACTCAAAAGCAACCATGACAGAGACGACTCCAGCAAAAGCTAAGAAAGCGGCAAAAGCCAAGAAGGCGCTTTCACATCCCAAATACTCGGAGATGGTCATAGCTGCCATTAAGTCCGACGGCAGTAAGGGCGGGGCGTCACGTCAGTCCATCCAGAAGTACGTCAAGAAGAACTACAAAGTGGGGGACAATGCTGATGTGCATATTAAACTCACCCTCAAGAGGCTGGTGGAGAAAGGGGAGCTCAGGCAGATCAAAGGCGTCGGTGCGTCCGGATCCTTCAAGCTCGCCAAATCCGAGGACGCCAAAAAGTCCAAGAAACCAGCTGCCGCCAAGCCAAAGAAGGCGGTCAAGTCTCCCAAACCCAAGAAGACTGTGGCCAAACCCAAGAAGGCGACCAAGGCTGCCGCGGTCAAGAAGTCACCTGCGAAGAAGGCGAAGAAGACCGCGGTGAAAAAGGCAACGCCGAAAAAAGTCAAAAAATCACCAGCGAAGAAGACAGTGAAGGCAGCAAAGCCCAAAGCCAAGATTGTAAAGAGGGCAGCAAAACCCAAGAAGGCTGCAAAACCCAAGAAGGCTCCAGCCAAGAGTGCCAAGAAGAAGTAGTGCTGGAGCAGAGACCAGAGACATGTACATAATACGGACTGGATTTTTTTCTATATGTGTATTATTTTTGTAAAGCTTCATGGAATTTGACGTTGGTTTGACTTTGTTCATTGCACTATAGCCTCTGCTGTACATTTGACTTCACGGTTTTTACTGATTCAGAACGGTCAAGTTCCCCGTTGTGCATAGTTCTGATGTGTTTGTTACGTGTGTGAGCCCTTGTGGAGGCCAAAGACGATTTAAGTGTCTGACATACTGTAAACGTCTAAGATAAATGCAACATCACTGTGTAAAGTCACTTTTAAGACTGTTAAATAAAACTGTTCTACATCTACAGCCTCTGTCCATTTTTGCAGAGTTAGAGTTAGAATTAGTCAAATAAACTTGCTTCAATACATTTTGAATCAAAGTGACATTACCCGATTTAAAAAAAAGTTCCATCCATTTTTAAGTAAATTATTTCATATATACACTGACATGTTGGAGTAATACAACTTTGATACGTGTCCATATTTAACCCAGACCAATATTCTCTAAGTATGGCCTTTGTAAAAACGTGATGAGATGACGCGGCCACGCACTCCCAGCAGGTTGATCCAGGACCCACTGTAGACCACACGCACCGCTCCCTGCCCGACAGCGCCATCTAGTGACGCAGAGGGAGATGAGCAGAAGGAATCACCAACAAACTCCTCCATCCCCGGCAAACTGTACCAGACACTTTCTCCAAAAACACACTTTAGTTTGTACATTTTAACCTATTTACCATATTTACATAAGAACCGTATTGAATTGTGTCCTTGATAAAGATAAATAATAATAATAATAAAACTAGGACTCTCCTATTCAAATGTATGGAATTCTAGTTTCATGTTTTCACTACTCTTACAATTAAGCAATTATCTTTAGTAAACGCTAAAACTGGTTGCAATTAATGAAATATAGCAAACTAAATGCTAACTGCAGCGAGTAAACAGTGTGTTGCTATGGTAACTAGCACATGCGCCGGTCTGAGGTTTCCCTGTATGCTTTGAACCAGTCTAGGATTGAGAAAACAACATAGAAAATGAACTACATATAGAAATACACATACACAAGATACAAAAAAAGTCAAAAAGACCGAATACGTACATAAGCGGAGTAATTACAGAAAAGTATACACAACTATAATTTGGGCAAAAGTGGTTCATGTCATGTCTTGTCATTTATTTAAGCATTCAATCAGTTCAAATTGTCATTCACAAAGCAGCGCAGTTTAAAAATCAAAGAAATGTTTAACTACCAAATTCAATGGTATGAACGCATTACATTGTTTGATAATTTTCATACGTCAACATCACATTTCAATTAATAAAAGCATTGAAATCATTGGAAAGAGGTCAACAAAATTAAAGTTAAAGAATAAATATAGCAAACTGTAAATAACATTTTGGTAATCCTCCGTACAGGTTTGGACTTCTGAATGCAAAGAGATTCATGAAACGGCAACGATACATTATACTTGTGGACGTCTGGAGGATCTTGGCATTTGTGTATGTTGTGAGACACTACATACTGTACTGATGAAATAACTATTCAGTCTGGAGGTGAACACTTGGCTTGAAAGGTGCATTTCCCTCGTTGGAAAAAGCACCAGAAGAATCCTCAGTCTTTCTATCATGGAACTGACAGCTCAGACTGAAACTCGGTTGTAAGGCAAAAAGACATTTGTAGGAATTAAGGTCTGACAGAGTCCTGGGTGAAGTCTCTCACGTGTGGAGCCTGGAGAAGCAGAGGCCGTGCTGCACATTTGGTCGAGTTGCATAAAGCTCTGTCGATTGTTGGTCATTTCTGTCGAACCGCTCTGTAGATGGCGAATCCCAAAACGGCGACCACGGCGGAGCCCAGGGCCACCCTCAGCCAAAACGAGGTCTGGCTCAGGTCCGACCCGTTCAGGTGTCTGCAGAGAAGAGAGACACAGACAAATACGATTACTGCATGGTCGGAGTGATGAGCTCAGTGTGACGAGGGGACGTACGGATACACTGCTGCCCACGCCAGTTTGGAATAGACGTTACTGCGCGTGGAATCGAGGAACTGATGAGAGAAGGGGAGCGGAGCGGGAAGCCTGTGCTTGTAACAGAACTCTGTTGGTGTCATGCCGTGGAGCTGCTTCACCTCTGGGAGATCCACCTTTGAGGCCACCACCACACAGGGGATGTTGCTCTCCATATAATGTTGCTGTTGAGAACAAAGACACAAGAATGAGAGAATGGAATATGTCAGTAAAACTTTGAAGATATCTGTTTTCCACTGGGTCTTAGATATTTATTTTGCTTGAACATATATCTCAAAAATAATTTTACATTTTGGCTTTAAAAATTCCCACTGGGTCGCCATAGGAATCATTATAGAAAGCATCTTTTTCATATACTATAAAAGCACTCTTAAAAACCCAGACAGAGAGTTGGATCACCTACAAAGTCTATTTATTGGCACTGTGTCCTGTTCCAGAGATGTAACTCTATAACCTATGTCTCTAAGTTTAGCCTTGTTGCATCTTGTAATGCGGGTTCTGAGCTTCACTGGTCAGACTTTTGTTTAAAATTGAGGCTCGCTGCTCCGGGCCGCACTGAGGCAGACACAGGAATAATGTTTTTACTCTTTTATGTTGAGTACAGACACGGTACAGTTCTCTGCTCTGAGCACAGACAGCAGGGCTGGAGCAGGGGAACAGCTCCTCCCTCACCTCAGCCTCTCTTTGCAGGAAAAACAAAAGAAAAAAATCACTGCAACATCACAAATCCTGTTCTGACGCAGCCTCACTATCATCAACCTTATAATTTATTGTTCTTGTAGAGAACCTCGTCTTCTGCATTCACTCCCATCATTCAACTGACCAGTGCAGCGCTCGAGGACCATGAGGGACTTGACCTAGGGTGCATTATGGTGCGGCTTAAGGGCAGGCTGATTGTGTTAGAGCCACCTCACTGTGGTTTTGTAAGATGTAAATTGTAGGTTCACAAGAGTCAACACCAGAACACCTACTTACCCGACTCAGCAGAGCACCATTCCAACCTCTCACTCCGACTCGCAGTGCTCCGTGGTCAGTGTAACACAGTGCAGTAATATTTACACCTCATTTGTCCAGCAGAAGCCGCACCAACATGAGAGCCAGCCGGACACTCACGGCCCGTACACACCGCATCATGGGAAGCGGAAAGACTCACGCAGTGGCGAGCCAGGGGAGCTGCGGGGCTAATAGAAACAGCAGCAGCTCCTCTGCTGAGGAGAGGTGCGAGTCACTCACTGCGCTGTGGTGTGTACGAGCCGTCAGCGTAACTAGTGTCATCTCAGTAAATTATGGCTTTAGTTTTAGTAAGTGTCTCTTAGAGGTCTGACCTTGTATATGCTGGCACAGTAGTCGAATGAATGAGGGTCACTGACGTCGTACATGAGACATGCGACATCACAAGCAGCGTCTGATGCCTTCAAGACCTCCACGTCCACGTCCACCTCATGGAGCTGCTCAGAAAAACACACGTGTTTATAACCTCACAGTCTGGGTGGATGAGATATGAGCAAAGGTACGTACGATAAGGTACTTTTCCTGGTTGCCGACTTGAACAGTGTTTATAACAAAGAGGGGAAAGGCACTGCTGGATTTTTCCTTTTTCTGAAAATCAAAGCAGCCAATTAATCACACTGAAGAATCTGTCTTCGGAGATATTGTTTCTGTACCGTGAATTTGTGGTTGATAAACGCCTGAAGAAAGGCGGACTTCCCCGTTCCTCGAGGCCCGATCACTTTGCAGAGAAACACAGAGCGTTGAGTCTGACGCTTTTCCAAGTCCTTTGTTTTTTCACGTGACACTAAACAAAGATAGAGAAGACCTTAAAGCAGACATAACATACATCTGCCTTCTATTTACTATACATATATTACTTATATATACACACAATAGGACAGCTGTGGACTATTCTGCTCTTCTAAATATTCATCTGACCTGATGGACTCTGCCGGATGGGTTCAATGAATAAGAAAAAAGAAATGGCCACACATTGTAATAAATATAATCCTAGTGGCCAGAGAAGGTCGGAGCGTGGCAGAGAAATCCCTCAACTATAAGTGAAAGCCAAAAAAAGTCTATTGTGTATGAATCATTTACAGTTGTTCTGGTGTCACTATATTCATCAAATGCTTTTTTATTTTCCTGAAATCAGCTCGACAATAAGAAGAAGAGTGTGAAGTTAGTTTGCACCTGTGATTGCAGAGGCCTGCGTCTCCTGCTCAGTGAGTATGGGGTAACCTAGATAGCCAAGGAGCTCCAGGCAGCGGTGGACATCCAGGTACGCAGACAGTCTGGAGAAGAAGCAGCGCATGCGATTTATGGATACTGTAGTTACACTATAGTGTTTCAATTCAATTTAATGTGTATCGCCCTAAATCACAACAGAAGGCGTCTCAGAGGACTTTACAACATTGTCATTTTGCCAACAACAGATCAGTTGTGATTTAGGGCTATACAAGAATAAATTGTATTGTATTGTATCAGTGAAACAGTTTGAACACAGGAAATGCAAAAAAAATAAACACATGAGACATTGATCCATAATGATCTACGTTCTAGATCTACCAGTCGATCGCAAAAGGCAGTATTGGTAGATCGCATAACACACAAAAATTATCCGTTTATGCATTTGCGTGTAGAAAGAGATAACCGGAGTGTTGAGTTTTCACACGTCACAGTATGCCCCCAAAACAACAACAAACAAAACGTGCGACCTCTGATCACTGAAGCATGGATCTTACTGCCTTAAAAACTGTCCACTGCTGCAAGCGGTTCACAGCAGCGAACATCCTCCACATCAGAGAACAGCAAAGTGATCACGCACGCTCAAGAACAACCAAAACAGGAGCTAAACCAGAATCAAACCAGGGCTGAGGACGGGGTCAGTGCTTGTAAACATGTCTTCACCATGGATCTATAATAATATGTCTTCACCCTGAGTTTCTACTATGACTGTAAGTGCTGCTACAGAAGTACCGGAGTCAGCATCAAAGCTCCGCCCACTTTGTGGTTTTTTCCCAACGCAGGATGTCAGAGGACGCACACGTTTGGAATGTTATGAATGTGATTGAAAACGCAGATGTTCGGTTATGTGTGGATGTGAATTATTTCATAAATCATGCGGTTTTGCAAGTACATACATTGTAGACATAAAAGAATCCTCAATATATTTAGAAATAAATATATGTTTTGCATTTTTGTAGTAGGTAGATCATTTTGACTTGATCATTTTATAAGTAGCTCGCATTCTGAAAAGGTGTGAGCACCCCTGTTCTAGATGATCACTGTCGTTAAACCCTCCTGCATCGGCAAAGAACTACTCAAAAACCCAGTGGGAAAAAGGGCTGGAGGCCCACATTGAGAGAGGGATCCGATCCCACAGACGGACCGGCTATACAGTAGATCCAGGACTGAGATAATAAAGTCAGGCACTTACACCCACAGACACAGGAAGCCTTGATTAGAAATATAGCCCTTGTCTGAAGTGGGGACTGTCTCGTAGACATCTGGGCCCCAGGGCATGTAGGGACACACACAAAACAAGTTCTTCAGTTCTTCAGGAGACAGGGCTGAGTCTTTGTCCTAAAAGTAAAATGATCAATGAGTGCAACGGTTAAGTATAACAAAAAAATATTAATATAAAATCTCACTTTAACCCAGATAAAGCTGGTGGACCTAACTTTGTGCTTTCGTCAATAGTTTCATCAATAGTTTCCACATGCATGCCCTTTTGGCCTCTGTCACATCTTTAGATCAACTTTTTTAGACAGAAACGTGAAAAAGAGGTCTGCCCTCACTCAGTTCACAGTTTGTAAGAATACATGTTTTCTAATAAGATGGAGACAGATTGTTGTCGTCTGATTTGTTCACAAAATGTTACTTAAACAAGACAAAAATGTGTGACTTTTCCAGCTTCACCTACTTCGTCATACTTGTCAAAAACACGCTGAAGAAACTGCAAACCCAGATGAGTGAGTTCTGTTGTACAACCAACAGGAACCCGCAGCCTAAACACAAACACAACCATTAGAGCACATCACCGCAGGAGTTTAAATGTGTCAGCGTACTCAGGATAGAGATAATCCTCCGTCAGTTCTAAGTTGTCGTCATAACCAAATTTACGAAGGATGGTCCAAGTGGTTTCGTGCCGACCTCTTTGAATAAATAATGTGTTCAGGAACAAGAAACCTGGAAATGAAACATGATGCAGATGACATTTGGACAGCGAGCGGTGGAGGGGCCACACGTGACAATTTACCGTTCAGAGTCAGGCCGTTGTCCTGGACACCGTCGCTGGTATTCTTCCACACCACGGTTTTCACATCGTCCAAGGCTTGAGGCGCCAAAGGATTCCCAAAACAACATTTCTGCAGACATGGAAAGACAACCTTCTTCATAAAGCATTAAACAAATATTAAGACTGAAAAGGTTGTTTGAATAAGAGAGTAAAGGAGCTAGTTCTGCTGACCACATGTTTGGGCGGTACACTTCCTGCATTTGTCAGAGACTGTGATGGTGACGTGTCTCTGATCACCTGTTGAGGAGAGATCCATCAGACTGACCACGCCCCCTCAGAGCACTGTGGTCTCTGGAGAAGGGAGTCCCAAGTGTGAGTCAAGGGAAAAGCCCCTTCATCTCGGTTTATGGTCTGTGTCAGTCTGATGGATCTACCCCGTCAGACTGACCCCATCTGGTATCAACAGCTGGAATACAGCAAGTGTACCGCCCAAATATGAGGTCATTAAGCAGAACTGTCTAAACCAGTGTCTCCCAAAGTGGGGTCCGCGGCCCCCTGGTGGGCCGCGAGGGTACTGCAGGGGGGCCGCGGGAGGTCATAAAAAAAATAAAAATGATAATATAATTATTTAATGTTAAATTTATAATGTTTTGTTTGTAATATTAAAATATTTGTGTTCATTATTTGACTTGAATAATCCACTGTAATCATTTTTGTATTACAATGTTTGTAGCAGAGGCTATTTCCCCAAAATAAAATAACCAGAAAGGCCTATTCTTAATGTTGTCTTCTTGGTTATTATTTTGGGGGGCCACGCAGACCCGTCAGATTTTTAAGGGGGCCTCGGTGTTACTGAGTTTGGGAATGGCTGGTCTAAACCTTAGGCATAATGAACTTTTTTTATTTAACACTAGGTTGTTACAAAACCAGCGACGATGCTACCTGAAAACAGTTGAGTTCGGCGTCACTGAGGATCCGGTCGTTGTCCTGGTCTGAAACGTAGAAAACTCTGCTCAGGGCCCGCACACAAGAAGGCTTCAACTGAACACAGAAAAAATAGAAATAATCATTTATCGACAAAAGAGACAAACTTTTGTCTGTTTTGATTCAACAGTAACGTTGCAGAACATTACTTGCTTGTCCTCGGGGTCGTAGAGCGGCGCAGTCGGATGGAGAACCGCCTTCTGTGCGTAGTAGAACAGCTCAGAAATATTTTTCAGATTCTTCGCAGAACACTTCAGAGGAAAGAAACATGGACAAGTTTATTACCAACACTCGCAGAGCAGTCATTTTGACGGTTCGGATTCAAATCAATGGAAACATTTCAGTTAGTCATTCCTTTACTTGTTTATTTTTACCTTAAAAAGATTCTAAAACTGGTTAGTATATACCAAATGCTAACTGCAGCAACTAAACAGTGTGTTGTTATGGTAACAAGCGCTTTTCTGGTGGAAATAACTGAGCCAATATAACCAGAACCAGCACCTTGATAAAAAGGGCTTTAACTGCCATAGAATCAAATGAATGTGACAGTCAAAAAGACTGCTCTGATGGTAAAAGGTACAACTCCTCGCATTTCAAAAGTAAAAGGTCATTTCAAGAAAAATAATGAGATAGGAAAAAATTGCATATAGTAACAAAAAAGTCACAAAGTTATGCAAACCAAACATGTACATTATTTTGGAGCATTTAAAGCAGGCGGACGTTTCAGACTCACCTCGACACAGGTCTCGATCTCGGAGAACTGGTTCATGATGGGGAGGATAGTTTCCATGGAGCTGCCGCTGCGGAGGTCAGATTTGTTTCCCACCAGGATGATGGGGATTCTGGAGACGCAAAAACAAAGATGGTTCTTTCTGTCCAATAGATTTCTGCCAATGTCGTCATCATAGAAACATACTTGTTCCCTTTCTCAGCATTTCCATTCACCAACGGAATCCATTTTGTTCTGATCTGAAAAATTGAAATTGTGATAAATAGTAAGTAAGTAAGTAATCTTTATTTATATAGCGCCTTTCACAGACCAGAGTCACAAAGCGCTTTACAATTATGGGCACCTGTCTCACTCCACACAGATAAGGAGCCAGATCCATTTTACATATTTTTAGTGGCAGGGGAAACCGGAGCGCCCGGAGAAAAAGCTACGCAGTCATGAGGAGAACATGCAAACTCCACACAGAAAGGCCTGGAGGTGGAGTCGAACCCAGGACCTTCTTTCTGTATGCCACAAGCACTAACCACCGCGGCACCGTGCTATAGAACTAGCATCAGAAACTGCACGTGACGCAGACAAAAGGTGGAACTTCATGAGAGGTCAAGGACAACTAAAAACAAAAACATAAATATAAAGATGGATGGTTGTGTGTTGTAGATGACTGTCGGTTCTGCTCAGTGTGAAAATTTCTGGGTTTAACTCTGTCTGACCTGAAATGGGACAAAAACACTAACCGGGTCGTTAAGAAAGCTTGTCAGCGTCTCTACATTCTGCGGAAACTTAGAGAATTCACCACTGACTCTGAGATTCTGCTAAACTTCTATTGCTGCACCATTGAAAGTTTGCTTGTTGGTTCTGAGACCAGAGAGAGACCAGAGAGAGACCAGAGAGAGACCAGAGAGAGACCAGAGAGAGACCAGAGAGAGACCAGAGAGAGACCAGAGAGACCAAAGAGAGACCAGAGAGAGACCAGAGAGAGACCAGAGAGAGACCAGAGAGAGACCAGAGAGAGACCAGAGAGAGACCTGAGAGACCAGAGAGAGACCAGAGAGAGACCAGAGAGAGACCAGAGAGAGACCAGAGAGAGACCAGAGAGAGACCAGAGAGAGACCTGAGAGACCAGAGAGAGACCAGAGAGAGACCAGAGAGAGACCAGAGAGAGACCTGAGAGAGACCTGAGAGAGAGACCGGAGAGAGAGAGAGACCAGAGAGAGAGAGACCAGAGAGAGAGGCCGGAGAGGGACCAGAGAGAGAGAGAGAGAGACCTGAGAGAGACCAGAGAGAGACATGAGAGAGAGATCGGAGAGGGACCAGAGAGAGGGAGAGACCAGAGAGAGAGAGACCAGAGAGAGACCAGAGAGAGACCTGAGAGACCAGAGAGAGACCAGAGAGAGAGACCAGAGAGAGACCTGAGAGAGAGAGAGAGAGACCAGAGAGAGAGACCAGAGAGAGACCTGAGAGACCAGAGAGAGACCAGAGAGAGAGACCAGAGAGAGACCTGAGAGAGAGAGAGAGAGACCAGAGAGAGAGGCCGGAGAGGGACCAGAGAGAGAGAGACCTGAGAGAGACCTGAGAGAGACCAGAGAGAGACCAGAAGGAGAGGTCAGAGAGAGACCGGAGAGAGACCAGAGAGAGACCAGAGAGAGAGACTTCTTCTGGCCACACTGGAAAAGAGACAATTTGTTTTATTCCAGTGCTTTTAATCTAGTTTCATTCACGTACTTGTCTGGTTCACACTGTGGACTTTTGCTAACGTATTCCAAAGTGGTTTTACTGCAAATGGACGTTAACTGACTCTGCATGTGGATTCATTGTGCTGTATTCTGTGTGTTATTGTGTTGAACGCTGAGAGATAAACGTCTGCTTCATCCAACCCCCTTTTTAAACCTGTATTAGTGTGAAGAATGGGAATTGTGTTGTGCAGGTTTGAAAGTGTCGGGAGCTTCTGTGGCGCCTGAAGGTTACGAGGAGTCGAGAGAGAGAGAGGCCAAGTACCTTTTCGATTGTGTCTTCGTTGGTTACGTCGTACACGACACACACAACGTTGGCCTTGAAAGACAGACAAACACAACATTTATACAGGTGTCATTTAAACCGATGCCTCTGCACAATATTTAGAATAAATGTGGTTTCATTGTGCTTTACCTTTACTATTTCATGTCTCAATACTTCATCAGTCTGCTCTTTTTCTGCAATGACAAATTAATCAAGTTTATTTATAAAGCACAATTCATGCAGTGCGACCCAAAGTGCTTTTGTACATGCTGCTCCTTTTGCATGGAACGTGTTGCAAAATTATCTTATTGAATGCTTCTATATCCAGATTGAGAGCACGTGAGACTTCCTCATTGACATGTAACGGTTTATATAATTTGTAACTTTATGAAATTGTAGGTAACTGTTTTTATAATCTTTAGTTGTATGTAACTGTAACTTTTGTCCAGGACTCCCTTGAAAAAGAGGTTCTTAATCTCAATGGGACATTCCTGGTTAAATAAAGGTTAAATAAGATTAAATTACACAGACATAAAATCGTGTACATTAACAAAGATAAGGTAAAATAAGTCAATTTTTATCCCAAGTTTTTTGGACAACACAAAGAAAAATATTTAAATGTATTCTTAAAAGGTAGATAGGAGGATTTTTCAAAAACCGCCTCTCTCAGTGGGAACGCCTGTTAAAACCAGTGGGGGCGGGTCCCGGCTCAAAAGTGGCCAAAATGACGTGCGCTGACATGCTGCAATACCACCCTGGGCTGATGGGGGTGGACCCGGAATAAGAATTAGCCAATGCTAACATATAGCATCTTCTTACTTCTCGAAAACGTCTTTACAGAGTGGTCCAAAAGTTGGCTCTTGGCCCAAAGCTCCGTTCCACATGTGTGTCAATGCTGAGGGGGGTGAATTTTTTTGGACCACTCTAGTTTACTCCCCGCGAATTTTTGAAGGCACTCGTTTAAATGAATGGGGCTCGTGCAGCTGACGCATGCGCAGATGCGTTTTTTCCATGGATCTATTACATTAACTGGATAGGGTATTACTAGCTTGTAGCTGAATAACTTATGTGCTCAGGGGATTCTCGCGGTACTGCAGACTGAACCAGACTAAATTCACGTGGGCTACCCAGAAATTTTCCCCATAGAACTCAATGCATATTAAAACAGCTCAACCTCAGCTGACAGAGAACCTACAGCTTTAATAAAGATCGGATTTTGTGGGGATTTTAGTGTCCCTTGTCATCCTTTTCTTCTTAAATCCTTCGGTTTTGTTTAAATCCACACTTTAGTGCCACAAACTCTGCTCGTCTGGCTCTCGCTCTAACTCCCGCTCTGATGAACTGCTCTGATTGGTCAGAGCGCGGCCGAGCCCCTCTGTGCACGTGCGTGAGACCCGGTGTGAGACCCACACACGCGTGTTTGACGCAACGCATTATGGGAGATCATCCACTGCACAGAACCGGGAGGACCAGACGATGCCCAAATACAGGCGAGTTTCCCATAGATCTTTGAGAGTTCCAGGCGACTTCCGCTAATCTTTCAGCCCCCATGCCGTCACAAAGCGCCACTGAGCACAACCATTCATTTGAATAGGACGCCATCTTGGATCGCCGGGGCTTGGTTTTTTCACATTCTCCAGCCCCCGCGGCCATTTTGAATCACTCCATGAAAGCCCAATTTTTTGGCCCATTAGTTAGAAAGGGGGATATTAGTATTAGATAGCAATATGGCCTACGTGCAGGACTGTACAAGGACTCTACAAGGACTCCATGTTATGACTATTGTTAGGATTTAAGCAGACAGAGACGGATCGTGGTGTGCCAAACTCTGGAAGTTTATTTAAGTTTCTCTCAAGTTCCACTGGTTTACTCTGTTTCCTTCCCTCAGACAGAATAAAGGCAGTACACAGTTTATATAGTCATTGTCACGTCACACATCGAAAGACATACGTGTCACAAAGAGACAGTCAAATCATAGTGTGAGATTTCATAACACTTTGAAGCAACTTTTGTTAAAGTTAAACTCATCATTCTATCAATGTGCAGAAGCCAGTACTTTTCCCTTGTTGTGTCTATCTGAAGGCCAAGCTACATGGCACCGTGGCAGCTGCTGATTGGAGGTCTCCATGCCTCCGCTCTGTATAATACACTTGCATTCTATTGTATCTGTGATCGTGTGCTTGTGCTGTCTCTACCATCGACAATAAAACATGTCTTCTGTCTGAATTAAAGACACGATCCCAGACTATGTCATCTTCTTCAGGGAGATAGGCATGACTACGTCCGTTAAATACAGTCTATGATTAAAACGTGTCTCACATATCACCAGTTACATTGACAATTAGGACCAATAGTTTAGATGATCCACCCGAAAGATGAAAATCCTTCCATATAACTTCATAATAATACATTTCATTTATACAACTACTACATACTCAAAGATGTTTCACAAAAGATTTAAGGTGGGACAGAAAAACAAATGGTTAGTTACCAGAGTAATCCACGATGTGTGTGGGCACCTTCTCCGGGGTCACGTCAGCCGGGATGGTGATCTCCTCTGCTCTGTGAGGGACCTGCCAACAGCCAGATTCAGATTCAGACTACTTTATTTATTCCACCAGGCGCATAAAAAAACATTAAAAACACAGGAAATGTCAGACAGTAACATAAGCCATTTGATATGAAGTGGAGACCATTGAAAACATAGGAACATAAAACAACAATATGAGCTCAAACACCAAAGTCCAGAGAGTTCAGCCGTCTGAAGTCATGCATCTAACACTGAGGGAAACTGACGATGATCCAGAAACAGAAATGCTGTCATTACCTCCTCTGGAAACTCCTCTCCAACCAGAGACATGATGAGCGAGGTCTTCCCAACTTGGGCTGTGCAAAAATAAATGACACGTTCAAATATCTGACGAAATAGTGAGAATTATAGGTATTACATCAGAAACTAAACACAAACTGCAATCATTCTTTTAATTGTTTCCTTTTTTTATTCAGTTTGATAAAGTCATTGTTATTTAGCCTTTTAGTTTTAATAGCAACTCAAGCGATAACTCGATAATGCTACAATCTGGCCAAGGCCAGATATTACGTTAAAACCAAACAAGAATAATATTCATGGCCTTGTCATTCGATCCGGCAACGGATGAAGCGGAAGAAAATGGATGGATGGACTTGCTTTTTGTCACTATCTTTGGCTACATTGGTTCAATCTGGTCTAAAGTCACTTTTCTCACGAAGGCCTCGTCTCAAACAAAATGTTATCTTTGCTTCCTCCTGTAATTATTCAACTGAAGAAAATAAAACAATGTCCTGTGGTATTCATGATAAATATTTCAGACCCTTCACATAAAAATTACTTTAAAGAAAGGACAGATCACAATATTCAAATGTTGAAACAAAACAAAACTGTTAAACTTAATTCCAAATGGACATGATTTTATGATCCTCAAATTCATAATCCAATCAGAAAGCAGAACATAACATGATTCTGTAATTTGGGTTGTCAACTAGTGATCTATATGTGATCCTAGAGCACACAAACAGTTAATTGTAACTTTTTTTTCAGGACTACCTTGTAAAACACGTCATTAATCTCATTGGGACTTCCCTGGTTAAATAATAAAAATATGACAAAGGTCTGGGTTGTAAATGGTGAAGAGAATTGTCATCAGTAAGAGTGCAGCTTTAATAATGTGTTTTATTCCTTTGATCATGATAATAATCACCCTTGTTTTGTTCTGCCTGAAGATTCTAGAATATTTGAGGCTTGCCTGATTAGCAAAACTACAGTCACAGCATAAAACTTTACAGAAGACACGTCACACTCAGTGACTTTGGGACACTGCTCATTCACAAACACGTAGTCTGCGGATGAACTTTATTATTGTCACAGGTTTATGTGGATTAAGAGGAAACACATGTAAACAAACTGAAGTTGTAGCATAACTAAGCTAGCTACAAGTTGGTGCCGAAGCTAACGGTGCTCTCTGTCAGGTCCGGAGCTGAGCACGTCACTTACGCTCTCCCAACAGCAGAATCCGCACGTCCTGCTTCATCTTTCTGTTCCAGAGACCACCAGCTCACACCCACAACTTTTATATCCAGATCTAAGAAAACACTTCAGGCTTTAGGCGCCTCTGCATGGTTTGTATGTAGCCAAGGTGAAGCCGATGTTTTTCCGGGTCACGTATCAACACCTGCCCCCTGGTGGACAAGCAAGCGCATTACAACTGTAGACTTCATACCATAGACCAGCCTTTTTCACCAAGAGAGCTACTTTCCCGGGACGATAAAGGCAGAGAGCTACTCCTGGGGGAAAAAATGGTGTGAACAAGCTTGATATTGGGTGCAGTCATTATTTATCATCACATATTTGTTACTAGTGCACAACAAAAGTGCATTAGCAATACAATCTGAATTATTAAGTATATTTGATTTGTTAATTTCTTATTCCTTTGGCGAGCTACTGGCGGCTCCCAAGCTACAGGTTGGACTCCCCTTCCACAGTGCATACCAGCACTGATCCAAACCAGGCAGGTCACAGTGTCTATGCATGAATATACATAACACATATAACAAATAACAAAACCCATGTATGACATACATTTTGGAACAATACTGAATAACTCCAACAATGTTTATTCAAAAACATACTTTTTACCCATTATTAATATAATAAATTAGTGGGAAATAAAACTTGAATGAATGAAATGCTTTTACACATACTATATACATTTAAAAACATGAACGCTAGATGGATGAATCATTCCATCCTCATAGTCTTAAAATGAGCCTGAATGAACTTCCCACAGCAGGAGCTCATTAAGAGCCACCGTGAAGAGCAGAGATCCAGAAGGAGAAAAGTGACATTTCTGCAGTGAGTCATTGAGCACAAAGTCCTGAAATCTGCCATTGTTTGCTTCAATGAGCTTCATCACACAATCTGAAACACAGAAATTCAATAAAATAATCCTTCTCATTGTAAAGATATGATGTAACTAAAATGGGTCCTTTTGATGCACCTTTTGATCCCACCGCAACATAATGACTCTTTGGAGAAAGGCTGAAACATGTGGCCCAATGAGGTATGGCGATCTTTTTGATCATCTAGAGCAAAACACATCATATCACTCTTAATATTATCGAACATATTTACAGACAATTAACAGCTTTATGAGCAAGAGAACCTGCTTTGTAGAGAGACTGTAGTAGGACAACTCTTTCTCTACTCCATAACCAGTGTAGACCACAAGACTAGGATCTGACGGACAGAAGGCTGCCAGGCTTGGAGGGGGACTACCCTCCTAAAAAGGATAATTATATTATATATAATATATCAATATATATAATTATATATATAATATCATGTGTGTTGGTAAAATGTTCAAATCAACACTAAACACATAAAATACCATTTGACAGACACACAGTACATACACCAGTAAAAGCTGGAGCAGGAAATGTGAGCCAGTCCAAAAGTTCACATTTGTCTCTCATCCAATCAGAAACCCAGACACTGACACGTCTGTCCGCACTCGCCGCCAGCCACACCTCAGTCCCCTCCAGTCCAAACTCTCTTCCCTTCAACACAGCAGAAACATGTTCTCAAACCTCTTCATCTTCATATTAACGCGGCATGAGAGAGACACAGGTTCGTACATATTTCATAGAAACAAGTCGATGAAATGTGTCGTACGTAGTTACTACAGAATTCTTGATCAGAGACGAGTGTGTGCCACAGAACTGCAGCTTCTCAAACATCCTCAAAGAGATTTTCATCCCAGTGAATAATTAGAATGTGCGGAACGAGTGTGTGAAGAACAGTGTTGAAAATAATCTTAAAAATAAAATCTTCTGAATTGTACACTTTAAATAAACATTTTTGTGGAAATGGAAAAAAAGTCAAAGTATTTGTTATTTATAAACAAACCTGCTTTTGCACACACTGAATGGTGGTAATGGCGGCGCCTCTGTGGTCCTTGAGGACGCGCACGGTCTCTCCGTTCTCCGAGCTGCTGACTGTGATCACACCTGTGTTTCCAGCTGAAAGGATCACGTGACCTGTGCACAACCAATAGCTTCACACAACTACAGCGACATGCATTGAAGCAGCTGGTCCATGTTTAATGTATGGTTGCTAGGAAACAGCTATGGAATAACCAACAACAATATAAACCATAACTTCAAATAAAAAGTATTATTTACATATTGAATATCATTTAACACATTTAGAGAAACAAACCTTTGGCAGAGAACTGAACAGCAGTGACCTCCACATGATGTGGACGTAGTTTCATGTCCATCTCTGAAGAGGTCAGTTTGAAAACCCGCACAGTCCCGTCACTGTATCCTGCTGCTAAACGGAAGCCGTCTCTGCTCAAAGATGGACTCCAACAGACGCAGCAACAGGCCTAATAACAGACAGAATATCAGAACCAGCCTAACCCTAATAACAGACAGAATATCAGAACCAGCCTAACCCTGATGACAGACAGAGAATGACAGAACGAGCCGTGATCCCACTGAGGCGGAGACTGTTACCTGGTTCAACACCTGGAACTGCACCAGCAGCTCTGTGCTGCGTGTGGCCCACACTCTCACACTCCCGTCTTCACTGCAGGAGGCAAAATACTCCTCATCAGGACTGAAGACCACGTCGTTCACCTGCACAGGGTAATTTCAGACAAAATGCCAGAATATGCCAGACATGTGTGTTGCGGCCTGAACAGGTACAGATCGGAGCCTCACCAACTTATTATTCACTTATTATAATTGATTATTAATAATACATTTTAATTATGCTTTCATTTAATATTCAATTAAACAATATTTATTTTAATATTTCTTGAATTGACTGTCAGTTAGATGGTACATAAAGGGTCCAGTCAGTGCCACCACACTCATTGGTCATGTGACCTCTACAGCTGTTATAAGAACGAGTGGGCGCTGTACCTCCGAGCCCCTTTTTAACTGAGTCAGAATTACACAGTACAGGTACCTTACCTTTTAGAGGTTGAAAATAAATACTAGATTAAATCCATATAAGGGAAATCTATCCATTTGCTCCAGAGGATTTAAAATTTGACATATCAGATGTTTACCTCAGCCCTGTGTCCACTGACGAGACGAATGCTGCTGTTTTCCGACCAGTTAATGTACCACAAAGTGCCGGCTGTGGTGCCGATGATCCCCATGTCTATTGAAGTGTCAAATGCAGCAGCGACGATGGTTCCATCCAACTGGATCTCCTGCTTCATCAACACGGCCTTCTCACTGTGAACCCAAAAACAACAACACAGGGGCACATGAGAGGCACTGATCAAGTAGAAATCAAATCATTTGGGGCAATAATTATTTTCTAATCGTCAGATATCTGGTCCAGTCATGTTTTCTTGTTTTAAGCCGTATTTTTCTCCCATATCATTTTCAAGGGATTTTCTCCTGTGCACAAACCTATGTTCCTCATTGGAGAATCTTCCAAGAAGCCTCATGTCGTGCACAGCCCCGACCTCCCACAGCCTGACACGGCTGGAGTTGCTGCCTGTCAGCAAATGGTTTCCTTGACACTGCAGCACTCCTGTAATCAGTAAAAAGGTAATTTCACTTCCATAAAGAGAAAATGGATTTCAGATAATACACATGCATTTCCAGTTCGTACCAATTTCTCCCGCGTCTGCCTCCCAGGTCATGACGCAGCGCTGAGAGCCAGTGTCCCACACACACACATGGCCCTGGTTCGTCGAGGTGAAAAGGTAAGCGTTCCTGTAATAGCTCAAAGCCGTCATCTCCACATGCCCAACCTCCACCGGTGCATCCACCCGCTCCATCTGCAAAATGAAGGTGACATGTGTAGTCTCATCCATGCTCTCCACATGTGACATCATTAAAGCCAATCAGGACAATGAGTCTCAGAGAGGAGCTGAGCATACAGACATGGTTTTACCTCTACTCGAGTATTAATACGATCTCCAAAAATTGCAAAATGTCCAAAGCCTCATCACTCAAACCCGCACCAGAGAACACATCACCCCTGTCCTTCAAAAACTCCACAGGCTCCCCCCCATCAAACAGCGCATACATTTCAAAATCCTCCTCATCACCTGCAAAGCTCTATAACCTCGCTCCTCCACAGCCCTTCAGTCCCGCTACAGCCCTTCAGTCCCGCTACAGCCCTTCAGTCCCGCTACAGCCCTTCAGTCCCGCTACAGCCCTTCAGTCCCGCTACAGCCCTTCAGTCCCGCTACAGCCCTTCTGTCCCGCTACAGCCCTTCTGTCCCGCTACAGCCCTTCTGTCCCGCTACAGCCCTTCTGTCCCGCTACAGCCCTTCTGTCCCGCTACAGCCCTTCTGTCCCGCTACAGCCCTTCTGTCCCGCTACAGCCCTTCTGTCCCGCTACAGCCCTTCTGTCCCGCTACAGCCCTTCTGTCCCGCTACAGCCCTTCAGTCCCGCTACAGCCCTTCTGTCCCGCTACAGCCCTTCTGTCCCGCTACAGCCCTTCAGTCCCGCTACAGCCCTTCTGTCCCGCTACAGCCCTTCAGTCCCGCTACAGCCCTTCTGTCCCGCTACAGCCCTTCTGTCCCGCTACAGCCCTTCAGTCCCGCTACAGCCCTTCTGTCCCGCTACAGCCCTTCTGTCCCGCTACAGCCCTTCAGTCCCGCTACAGCCCTTCTGTCCCGCTACAGCCCTTCTGTCCCGCTACAGCCCTTCTGTCCCGCTACAGCCCTTCTGTCCCGCTACAGCCCTTCTGTCCCGCTACAGCCCTTCAGTCCCGCTACAGCCCTTCAGTCCCGCTACAGCCCTTCAGTCCCGCTACAGCCCTTCTGTCCCGCTACAGCCCTTCTGTCCCGCTACAGCCCTTCAGTCCCGCTACAGCCCTTCTGTCCCGCTACAGCCCTTCTGTCCCGCTACAGCCCTTCTGTCCCGCTACAGCCCTTCTGTCCCGCTACAGCCCTTCTGTCCCGCTACAGCCCTTCTGTCCCGCTACAGCCCTTCTGTCCCGCTACAGCCCTTCTGTCCCGCTACAGTCCTAAAGTCCCGCTACAGCCCTTCTGTCCCGCTACAGCCCTTCTGTCCCGCTACAGCCCTTCTGTCCCGCTACAGCCCTTCTGTCCCGCTACAGCCCTACAGTCCCTCCCATCTGCAGACTCAAATCTCCTCACTCCCACTGTCAAACCAAAGCACCAAACCTTGGGGGACCGAGCATCCGTCATGTCTACTCCCTCTCTCTGGAACTCTCTCCCCCCTCACCTCAGAATCTCGGACTCACTAAACTCCTACAGAAAACAGTTAAAAACTCACCTCTTCCACCAAGAATACAACAATTAGTTTAAGCATTGCACTTCCTGCTTTTAGATTTTTAGTTCTGTATGTCTCTTTGTATGTGTATGTATGTGTGTGTGTGTTCTGAATTGTGAAGGATCTTTGAGTTCTGGAAAAGCGCTATATAAAACCGATGTATTATTATCATCATCATATTATTAGTATTATTAAACTGTTTATGTATCGTGTCATTTAAGCCTTACCGAGAGTTCCACATCTGCAGCACGTTCGTGGATCAGACAGAAATAAACGCCCTGGCTCCCCACACAGGCCAGCTGGCTCGCTGATGAAGGGCTAAAGGCCGCTTCATGAAGAGGTCCCGACACTCTGACACTGAACAGCAGCTGAAGAGAGGAGCAGCTCCACAGCACCACTCCTGGATCACAGTAATCACCTGGAGGCCAAGAGCAGAGGCTTTAACAGCAAAGACGCCTAACACTGTTATAAATACAGTTCTTTGCTCCTTTACATGCGTTCAATCTAAAAGTTTAACAGTTTGCTATCTGCTTCAGTGAGACAAATCCAGACAGTTGATTGTCGCCTGTGACTAAAAAGTTGCTGGATATTGGCAGGAACTGAAACACACGCTTGCATACAGCAATCCAGAGCATCCCAAAGTTTAGTTCGCTGCCGTGTAAGAAGTGGGATGAATCCTGGTTTTCAGAGTTCCAGTGTCAGACAACATGGAGTGGTGTAGGCAAGAGGGCGTGGTCAGGCTGAGTGACCTGTCAATCAGGCTGACCAGAATGTAGAGGAGGCAAGAGGGCACTGTCCGGTTTCCGAAATGTGCTAAAAATAGCTCAGATGACTGCGCATGCGCGCATGTTTCGGACAAACATTGTGTACGACTCGTTGAGTTCTACTGTGTTCTCCTCATACGCGTGTGTATTTATTTGGGCTAAATCATTGAATCATGGTGACAACAAAACACTGCAGTTATGGTGCTTGTCGGAGCGATTTCAGATACTCTGAAAAGGACTATATGAAAGTAACATTCAACCCGTTCGTTAAACCACAACATCGGACCAGACCAGGACCAGACCAGGACCAGATCAGACCAGGTGGGTGCTTGTGGTCGGCAGAATTTCTCTCATGAAAAGGTTAAAAAGGACACATGTTTTTTCAAAACACTTCGCTGGACCAACTGTGGAGCATCCAGATCCAGTCCTAGCTACGTTTAGCTGGGACTGGACCTGGACCGCTGTATCAGGTCCGTCTGAGCTCTTCTGAATGTAGTTAGCACAAACTTTCTCTTTACACCATTTACCCCCATCAATCCATATTAGTATTGTTTGTCCTAATCCAGAAAGTATACAATTCTCACACCTGAAGAAAGATGAGAGGGATTTTTTTCAACTTTGTGTCTGCTTATTATACGGCTTTGTACCAATTGAACACACAAAATAAACGTCATTCACTATTCATGCCGAAAGGTTTATTTAATGAGTGCAAAGAAAATAGTTCCCAAAGGTTTTCCCGTGGCAGGCGAGTAACAGTGAGGATAGTTAACCTAAAAGCGATCGCTTTAGTCGCATTAAAAAAGTATTTTTGTCATGAAAACCTGAACAGTTAATTCTGAAAACCTCCGTGCACTTGTGTTATGAATGTGTATAATGTATTCTCCCATTAACATTTAAATGTGTTGATTGATTGTCATTTGCGTTTACTGAGTGTGGCTAGCTCTGATAGTTTCTCTCAGAGACAGTGGCGTAACCCGTTGTGATCATGGATTTATTATAATATCAGCTGACTGTAGCTAACTAATGATCAAACTAATTACAAAGTGGATAGTGCAAAAACAACTTGATAAATGGAAGTTAATCACAGCAAAACAAACAAAGAAGGCGCTAGCATTGCAATTTAAATGACTAGATAATGTTAGCATAATCCTCACCATTATCTTTTTATCAATTCAAACCGTCTACCAGTTACTGGAAGACCACGACATTCAAGCCAACGTTTTAATTGGTCTACACTATGATCCCTGATGGTTTGATGGTGGAATTTTGCCCCTGGTATATCATTTTCGTCTAAAGTGACAAGTGGTATTTGATTCATTTCGGCAGTGTTTGTCCGAAACATGTGGGCGGGAGTTGACAGGCGGCGGGGGCGTGTCTTAGTGACGTCATTTAGATAGTTCGCTAGTGTATGGGTTTAACTGTCTAATGACCTGAACTGGGACAAAAACACTTAGGTTGCTAAGAAAGTTTGTCAGCGACTTTAACAAAGCAAATTCACCACAGACTCAAAGATCCTGCAGCAAGACCAGAGAGGAACCAGAGAGAGACCAGAAAGAGGCCAGAGAGAGAGACCAGAGAGAGACCAGAGAGAGGGACCAGAGAGAGGGACCAGAGAGAGGGAACAGAGAGAGGGAACAGAGAGAGGGACCAGAGAGAGACCAGAAAGAGGCCAGAGAGAGAGACCAGAGAGAGACCAGAGAGGGACCAGAGATAGACCAGATAGAGACCAGAGAGAGACCAGAAAGAGGCCAGAGAGAAAGACCAGAGAGAGACCAGAGAGAGACCAGAGAGAGACCAGAGAGAGACCAGAGAGAGACCAGAGAGAGACCCGAGAGAGACCCGAGAGAGAGACCAGAGAGGGACCAGAGTGAGAGAGACCAGAGTGAGAGACCAGAGAGAGACCAGAGAGAGACCAGAGAGAGACCAGAGAGAGACCAGAGAGAGACCAGAGAGGGATCAGAGAGAGACCCGAGAGAGACCAGAGAGAGACCAGAGAGGGAGAGTGAGAGAGACCAGAGAGAGACCAGAGAGAGACCAGAGAGAGACCAGAGAGAGACCAGAGAGAGAGACAGAGAGAGAGAGACCAGAGAGCGGTGCCTGTTCTGGAGTTTCTGTATAAATCCAGATTCTTAAACCGAACAAATGACTCTTCTGGCTCCTGGAAAAGCATGTTCCAGCTTCTTCCCGTTGAGAGCTTTCCAGAAGCCGTTATCAGTTTAAGCAGTTTAATGATCTTGCACTTTATTGTTGATCGATTTTTGACCATTTTTTCCTGCACTTTTTTAGTTTATTTAATTTCTATACTTATAACCTTGTTTTATTTATGTACTTGTCTGGTGCACACTGGGGACTCTTGCGGATGTATTCCAATGTGGTTTTACTGCAAATGGCAAATAAACTGAATCTGCAACTTGTCCAAAAAAGAAAACCAAAGGGTGAGCGTAGAAAGAAAACTAGTATTTGGAGGCAGAGCAAGGGAAAGTCGATAAAGTCAAAATGCAGTTTGTATTGACCGACCCACGGAGAGGAAGAAACGGTCGTCTCTGGAGAACGCCACACACTGCACGGCTCCTCTGTGATGGGAGACGGGTTTGCGACACGCTCCACTCTCGATGTCCCAAATACAAATCTGACCGTGGATTCCATTTGTTCCACCAGCTCCTGATGCTACGGTCTGAAAAGAACAAGTCGTGGTTAAAGCTGTATGACCAGGTTCACACTTTTTGCCCAGAAGAATCAATCATTATCTTTGTGTTTTAAGCACAGAAAAAGATACACACACAGGACAAGTATGAAAACAGCTGTATACACACAACTTTATACTTGTTGTACTAGAATACACAGTGTTTTATGCTTACTTCTGTATTATACTAAAAAGACGTTATACTTGCTTCTTTAATACGCTAAATTAGAGATTCAAGGTATCTTTATTATCCCCGTGGAGCAGATAGGTTGCAGCAGCAGAAGGCACACATAGAGATTTTATACTTGCTTTTGTATTATGCTAATTTTTATTTTTATTTTATGGACCAATACACATATAGGTGTTCTCTATTCTTTGTGTTTTAACGGTTTGATTCTCTGATCTGTGTTGGCAATTTCAACGGTTTCGTAAAGTCCTCTGAGATAAGTACTGTTGTGATTTAGGGCTATTAAAGAATACATTGAATTGAATGGAATATTTTTTAGTTATTGTTCATTTATCTGCTCTGTGCTCCTCATTCTTCACTTTTTCTAATTTATTTGTGCCAAAAGAAACAGATGAAAGAAAATGTATATATTAATCAAAACAATATATACCAGCACTTGATTGATGTTTGCTTTTGGCCTTCTCGAAAGTAGGTATTTGAGTTAGAATACTGGGGAATCTCACAGGAAAAGGAAAGGGGGGGAAAGTGATCCACGGACGACATGAGACTCAGCCGTGATTGCTATTTGCCAACGTTCCTTTCTTGAAATCAAAAAGTAACAGCTCTACCTGTGCATCGTGTGTTATTGCGAGACAAGAAATCTCCTGGTGTCCCTGGAGATGTCTCTGGGTTCCTGTGTGAAGGTTTTCCACCACAACTACGGCGCCACAAGAATAGACCAACAACCCTGCGAGACCATTTGAGAACCATTAAAAACAGTTGACACTTTTTGTGCGTTCATAGCGTCCAATACGAAGCTTAAGTCTCACCTTTCTCAGGGCTCCACGCCACATTGCTCCTTCCATTGCCATTGTAACCTATGACTGCTTTTAGCTTTAGGTCTTCGTGTCCGTCTCCCGGTCGCGGCATCGAAGCATTCTGGGTACAAAACAGCATCAAGACGACTTCTAAAACCATTCTCCAGGTTGAGTTTATTTCATTACCTGATCCGACATGGAGTTCTGGAAACGTGGAACAAAATGCCGGTAGCAATCGGGTCGTACTGAAGGTCTTGGCACGTCTCCTGTAGTGACAGACAAAATGTATTTGTGTAACGGCAGTTGTCTCGGAGGACTTCATAACACAACAACAGATCAAAGAATCAAACAGGGAATACAATAATAACACACACATAGGAGCCGCACTCACCACTATCGAGGTGGCGGGGGAGGGGGGAGGCGCTCTGGACCTCTGTGACTTTGAGGAAAGAAGCCGGAGATCTGTTTGACTGACGGAGCTGGGAGCCGAGGTAAGGACTGTTTTTCAGAGGATCCGCACCTGCAGAGAGAAGACTACACATTAACGAAATAAAACACACAAACAAGACATTTGGAAAGTCCTTTATATGTATTGTTCCTCGCGTTACAGGCTTATACTTTTCGGTCATTAAAGTCAAAGTTAAGAAGCATTTTATATGCTTTATATGTGTATATTTCTTGTGCTCCTCGTGTGGTCTTACTACTGTCCTGTTTGTGCGCTGCAACACTGAGATATCCCACTGTGGGACAAATAAAAGTTCTCTTCTCCAATAGAAGCAGGACATTTAGAAAAGTCCCAAATTAATCAGTTAACTCAATTACTTTTACATCTTGAATGCAATCAATTGTAAATATAGTGCTCAAATAAAATACAATTTTAAAAATAGTGTTTTGTGCTTTCAGATTTAAACATGTTTAATCATTTCGGAATTAAATGAAAAATACCCTATTAGGCTTAAAATCAAATACAAATGCATCTCCTTTCACAGAACAGTTTGCTTCTACCACGAGTTTTCACATGTGTGTGTTTGTCCTCATAAATGTGTGTGTGCATGTGTGTTTGCTAATAGAGAGGGGGGATAAGAGAGGCCTGTAATCTTGAACGAATCCAGAGCAGGGTTTTTTTTGCAAATTGCTTTGCAGCGTCTCCGTGTAAATGGGGCCTACGTGAGTCTGTATACAGTATATGTAAAAATCCTACGTCAGATGCTCAAATAGTATGAGAGGTAGGTACTCCTATTGAGAAGCAAATACACTTGTAATAGACTATTTCCTTATGAACATACATAAATATGTTTAGCCTGGGCCACATCTTTACACAAGCAGCGTTTCCGTCGAATTGTTATTCACGAGAGTGGTAATGACATTCGGCGGAAACAGCCCAAGGTGTTGAAGCTGCAAGTCGCCGCCGTGTGCAAGCTGGCTAGCACAATGGCCGACACTGTCATCTTCTCTGGGCCCCTACCTAGCACTAGCAGTGCAGAAGCATTCAGCAGACACTCGGCTTTCAACCGCTGGCTGTCTGGCTGGTGCCCTCGAAGTGGTGTTGTTCATGTTGACAATTGGAGTGCCTTTTGGGGAAAGCCCGGTCTCATCCGCTCGGATGATATCCACCCAACGTTGGCGGGTACATCCCTTTTGGCTAAGAATTTGGCCCTGGCTCTAAACTGTTCTGCCCGGCTCAAATGACGGTGCAGAACTGAGGTCCGGGTGCAGAGCTGCTCTGCCACAACCTCTGAGCCCCCATCTGTTCAGTTACTAGCCTCAGAAGCTAGTCAGATTGAAACTGTGTGTGCATGTGTGTGTGTGCCTGTGTGTGCTCAGTTACTAGCCTCAGAACCTAGTCAGATTGAAACTGTGTGTGTTCCTCGCTTGAAGTCTAAAGCACTATATGCGAGGAAATCTGACCTGGGTGTCAGACACAGTAACTTAATAAAAGTTCAGAAAGACAGAAATAGTTCTAACAGTAGGGTTGTTAAATGTGGTTTAATGAACGTCAGATCAATCTCGTCTAAATCGCTTCTCATAAACAAACTTATTATAGACAAGGGCTTGGATTTGTTTGCGCTCTCGGAGACTTGGCTCCAACAGGACGACTACGTTAGATTGAATGAGTGCACTCCTCCGACGCATGTTAACTACCAGAAAGCCAGAACTACAGGTCGCGGCGGTGGTGTTGCGATTATATCACACACCAACTTGGTTCTTAGTCCCAAAACCAACAATGCTTTTCACTCGTTTGAAAACTTAACACTTTCAATCACCTGTCCTGGGTGGAGAAAACAAAAAGCGGTGCTATTTATAGTTTTATACCGACCTCCTGGTCCTTACAGCGAGTTCCTAACAGAATTCTCTGACTTCATTTCAAACCTAGTTTTGGAATGGGAAAACATAGTTATAACTGGAGACTTCAATATACATGTGGACGACAGCACTGATAGCTTAAACAAAGCTTTCAGCGCCGTACTAGATGGTGTTGGTTTTACTCAGAATGTTGAGGAACCTACTCACATTCATAACCACACCTTGGACCTTGTCCTGACCTACGGCTGTGATGTCTCCAATGTTGACATCCAGCGTCAAAGCTCGTTGCTGTCTGACCATTTCTTGATCACGTTTGATCTCGATTTGGAGGACTTTCCTGTCCCGCAAGATAAAACCATAATGAAAAGAACCTTAAATGATAAATCTATCACAAGGTTCAAAGAACTAATACAGCCTATGTTGAATACTGCTGCAGGTGAACCTGTTCACAGCTGCTGCAGTCCCTCAGTCATTGACCAAACGGTGGACAACACTATGGAGTCTTTAAAATCTGCATTAAATGCAGCAGCTCCTTTAAAACAGAAAACTATTAGGATTAGATCATCGTCGCCCTGGTACAGTGTTCAACTCCACACTTTAAAACAGGACGTCAGAAAATTGGAGAGGCTATATCGCCACTCCCACTCGGAGCCTGTCCACAGGGAGTGGAAAGCAGGTCTCCGAAACTACAAGAAGGCCCTTCGCGGGGCTCGAACTCAATATTATTCAACTTTAATAGAAGCGAATAAAAATAACAGTAGATTTTTGTTTAGCACCGTCGCTAAACTCACAAACTGCCATAGCGCAATCGAGCCTAAAATTCCAAGCTCACTGAGCAGTGTCGACTTTCTCCACTTCTTTAATAATAAAATTACATCCATCCGTGACAAACTGGAGGAGGTTACTCCTGCTGTTGGTAGTGGACAAGCTGAAGCGGCATACGTGACTTCCCACTTAGACTCTTCAGTGGGCCTCGATAAATTCATGGCTGTGAGCCAAGCAGAGGTGATCTCTGTGGTCACATCCTCAAAAGCCTCAACTTGCATGTTAGACGCAGTCCCGACATGGCTCTTCAAAGACATACTTCCTTTGATAATTGAGCCTATCGTAAATATAATAAACGCATCCATACAATGTGGCTATGTCCCACAAGCTTTTAAAACCGCGGTAATCAAACCCCTTCTGAAGAAAACAAACCTGGACCCAGAAATACTTACAAACTACAGACCGATCTCAAACCTCACTTTCATATCTAAAATCCTGGAAAAACTTATAGCTGAGCAGCTTCGCTGCCACCTGCAGGAAAATAATATGTTTGAAGTCTTTCAATCAGGATTCAGAGCTCATCATAGACTGAAACGGCACTAGTCAAAGTCACAAATGACTTACTACTAGCTGCTGATAATGGACAAGTGTCAGTGCTGGTCCTACTGGACCTTAGTGCTGCATTTGACACAATAGACCACAGCATTCTACTGCAGAGGCTAGAATGTGATATAGGTCTTAGAGGAACAGCCCTTGGCTGGTTTAAATCCTATTTATCAGATCGGTATCACTTCGTCAACGTAAATCAGAACTCGTCGCCTTATTCTGGAGTAGAATTCGGTGTGCCGCAGGGTTCGGTACTCGGACCGATTCTTTTCACTCTCTACATGCTGCCGTTAGGAAACATTATTAAAAAGCATGGAATTAATTTCCACTGCTATGCAGATGACACACAGCTTTATCTGTCGATGAAGCCAAATCAGACAGATCAGCTAGAAAAGCTCAGTGCCTGCATAAAGGACCTTAAAATGTGGATGACTCTTAACTTCCTACTTCTCAACCCGGAGAAGACAGAAGTGATCCTACTCGGTCCGAAGCGCCTGCGTGACTCCCTCACTAACCAGATAATTACTCTCGATAATGTCAGTATTATACCCAGTAACACTGTGAGGAATCTTGGAGTCATTTTTGACCAAGAACTCTCCTTCAAGGCTTATATAAGCCAAGCAACTAAAACGGCGTACTTCCACTTACGGAACATCGCTAAAATTAGGAATTTCCTTCCTAAAAGTGACGCGGAAAAACTTATTCACGCGTTTGTCACCTCAAGCTCGACTACTGTAACGCTTTATGGCAGCGTGCCCTAAAGCCTCTTTGAAGAGCTTCCAGCTCGTTCAGAATACAGCAGCTAGGATCTTAACAGGTACCAAAAGGAGGGAGCACATAACGGTGTTAAAATCACTCCACTGGCTCCTGTGGAGTACAGAATAAAGTTTAAAATCTTCTTAACATATAAAGCCATAAATGGCTTGGCTCCTTCTTATCTCCAAGACACGTTAGTGTCGTATCAACCAAGTCGAGCATTGCGCTCACAAAACGCCAGACGTCTGGTGGTTCCTAAGGTCTCAAAAATCACTGTTGGCGGCAGAGCATTTAGCTACCAAGCTCCTTTACTGTGGAATCAGCTTCATTTATGTTAAGGAAGCAGATACGGTCTCCACATTCAAGGCCAGGCTTAAAGCACTCTACTTTAATTTAGCATATAATTAGGTAATATATAATATATGGTGTATATATATTATATATATATGCTGTATTATGTTATATATTATGTTATATATTATACAATATATGTATTATGTTATGTTGTATATTATGTTATATATTATGTTATGTTGTGTATTATATATGATATATATGGTATGTATGGTATATATGATGTATATGATATATAATATATAATTAGGTTTGCACACCTGGTGTGCAATCCATGAATCTTGGTGCTGTAACCTAGGCTAGCCTAGCCGTGGCTGCTGCTGTCTCGCCTCCTTTCAGATACGCTCTCTTTATTCAAGGCTAGGTTTAAAACAGTCCTCTTTAGTTTAGCATATGGCTAGGAAGGTAAGACTCAGGGAAGGCTAAACTCCTCAGACTGTCAGTCAAGCTGCATAGGGAGTCAGTTTGCTGGGAGAAGTATGGTAACTTGAGCACTATCCTCTCCTCCTTCCTACTTTATCTGTTTAGCATTTTTAGGATTTTGACTGTAGTTTGTTCATTGCTATTCACCCGTTGTCCCATTGTCTGTATCATGGTACGATGACGGGATCTCTGAGCCTGGCCTCCCATCTACACCTGCGGACTGCCCCGCCCGACTCGCCTGGGAGTGCTTCAGTCCTGCACCGGACCTGTCCACGTTCAGCGGCCACTGGTCCACGTTCTGTAGCTAGCTTAGGTCCTAGATCATTAGCCTGTCCGTCCGGAGGAGCGGATCCCTTTCTCAAATGGGTCTCCCTCCCTGTGGGTTTCCCTAGTTCTCCCCAAGGTTTCTCACTTTTTCCCACTGGGTTTTTTAAGAGTTTTTCCTTGTCGATGCAGGAGGGTCTTGTTGGACAGTTAGTGTCCAACAGAAAGGATTGGTGATGATCAGGACACTTTAGCATTCTACAACATGTATGGACATTTTCTTCTGTGTGTGCTTTATATTCTTCATGTGTTTTAACTGTTGATTCTCTGATCTGTGTTGGTGATTTCAATGGTTTTGTTAAGTCCTCTGAGATGACTTCTGTTGTGACCTAGGGCTGTACAAGAATACATTGTATTGTATTGTATTGTACTACAGTGAACTTTTTCAGACAGAAAAGAGCTCTCAGTCCAAAGAGTCAGATCGTGACTGACAGAATCAGTGAGGATGTGTTTTTACCTTCAGGATCCAATGGTCTGATGCTGCAGAAGTCCGGCTGCTGTGGAGAAGAGGGCACAGGGGCAGCGTGTCGAGGAACGCTGATGGACCACTGATCTGTTCCAGAGAATATGTGGGATAGTAACAAACCACGATAAATCATACATTACATTTATTATAATCTTTAAAGAACACGACCTGCAGGTGCACTCCCGCCGCCCAGTCTCAGAGGAGATCTGTCACAGAAGAGTATTCAGTCGACAAATGGCTTCACATGGAGGATACGACAACAGGACGAGACATACAAGTATTTGGTTCTTTTACACCAGACAATAGTAGTTTAGTGATATTATTACCTCGACATCGCTAACTTACTGTTGTCTGGTAAAAAAATACCACATACGACCACCACCACCTACACATACCACATACACCACTACTACTACGACAAGATGAATTTTCCTACACTAAGATGAGACAGACCTCGCAGGTGAAGAGTCTTCGAGTCCGGCGAGGAAGTCCCAGATGAATACAGCATCTCCAACAGAGACGACGCTCTTCTGGTCCGGAGTGAAGCCCACCTGCAGGACGGGCCGACTGTGGCCGATGAACACCTACAACAAACACATATGAGACCTTATACCTTATTTTGAAGAAATGTAGAGTCTCAGTCACTGACCTGTGATCTCTGTGGTGAGTCATAATCGCACACTTTGACAGAGTTACGTCCTGCAGTCAGGAGGAAGCGGCTGTCATCGCTGACCGCCAAAGACGAGCACGGCCACACGCCGACCTCTGACACCTATTACCACCAATTACAGCAGCACACAAGACAAACTGCTCAAAGCTCACATTCTGGTACTTTAACACATGCGTCAATGTACAACTAATTTGTTGAAAGGAACCTTTTTTAGCACATAATTACGAGAATAACAGTGAAAGCTACCATAGGGCAAAATGTATTCATTCAGCCACTAATGGAGCATGTCCCCGCACTTAGAAAAACGAAAGATGATTAGTCTTTTTTCATCCCAAACTGTGGAATAGTTTACCTCTGTACATAAGAGCAGCTGCTTCTTTGGAGGTTTTTAAACAAGGCTAACGACCCATTTGTGCCGTGGCTTTTAACACCAACTAAGTTTTAAGGTTTTACATTTTAAAGGTGTTTGTGTATTATATGGTGTTCTCCCTTTTCTTTTGTGCCTGAGGAGCGCTTTGGGCAGACTGTGTGGCTGTAAGTGCTTCACAGGTGTTCATTGAATGCAACTCGGCCCTCGCTCTCCTCCAAACACTACGAGTTGAGTTTTTAAAGTCCAAATTCTCTCTAGCAAACTCCAGCCGGGCCTGGACTTGTCTTGTCTTAAGCAGGGGACATGATGATTCGAGTCCCTGGCGTAGTGTGTTACTGATGGAACCTTTGTTAGTTTGGTCCCAGATCTCTGCAGCTCATTGTGTAGTTCTGGGACATTTGCTCACTTTTTTTGCTCATTCTTGTCATTCTGACCCCGCAGGGTGAGACCTTGCATGGAGCCACAGATTGAGGGAGATTTTCTGTGGTCTTGTTTGTCTTCCATTTTCTAATAATTACTTCTATGGTTGACTGTTTTGCACATAAATGCTAAGAAAGATTCAGTCTTCCCAGCTTGGTGCAGGCCTACAACTTTGTTTCTGGTGTCCTTTGACAGCTCTTTGGCCTTTGCGATTGTGGAGTTTGAAGTTTGACTGAGGTTGTGGACCTGGTGTCTTTCACATAGATAACAAATGGAGGACAAATGAGCCTACATTTTTATTTCATTTTGTTTAGAGCAAAATACATGTGTGAGCCGACCATCAGCTCCCTCATCAAAAAGGCCGAGGATGTACTTCCAGCAGCAGCTCAGGAAAGCCAAGCTGCCTGCACAGATGTTGGTGCAGTTCTACACGGCCATCATCGAGTCCATCCTCACCTCCTCCATCACCGTGTGGTTCGCTGGAGCCACAGTCAGGGACAAACAGAGACTACAGCGCATTGTGCGCTCTGCAGAGGAAGTGATCGGCCGCAGCCTTCCATCGCTGCAGGACCTGTACGTCGCCCGAGCTCGAGGCCGGGCTGGTCGTATCACAGTCGACCCCTCTCATCTGCACATGGACTATTCCAACCACTCCCCTCAGGCAGGAGACTGCGGTCCATCAGGACTAGAACCTCCCGCCACAAGAACAGTTTCTTCCCCTCTGCTGTTGGACTCTTGAACACTTCTTAACCTGTCCCCCCGCCCTTTATAAAGTCACTTTACTGCCCATCATACGTCACTTTACTTCACTGTACTGTTGTCACCTTACATTGTGTGCACCATGTGCACTTGCATATTGTAAATAGTAACTGTAACTCTATTTTAAATTTAAATGTATTCCTTAGAAGGGTTTTTTATTCTTTATTTTTATTATCTCTTTCTGACTGTTGCACTGAGCCAAAGCAATTTCCAAGTCTGTGACCTCCTGCTACTTACGTGGCAATAAAAATGATTCTGATTCTGATTCATGACGTGGCTATTTTGATCCAGAAAAGTGCAACTACAATGAGGCGCAACACGCATTGGTAGCACATATCAAGTTGGCTAATTACTCCCATTCACTTAACTGGAGGCAAATCAAAAAGCCATAAACGATAATAATGTAAAAAAAAAAGGTGAAAAGGAGAAGATGTAATGAGTATTCTTTTTAGTTTATCTATGTGCTGTGTGGTACTGTTTCTTTAGACATCTCTTAAAAAGTGTATTCAGAAACAAAGGCCCCTGAAATACATACCTCCCGAAGAACACAGCCTGTTTTAGTGCTGATCCAGAGAACTTTGTTAGCAGAAGTTGACACCAGCAAGTGTGTGGAGGCCGCGGCAAAGCAGACCTTCAGTGCAGAATCTAAAGTAGTCTTCTCATCCAAAACACTTACATCCACACGAAGCAGCTGCAACATATGACAAAAGATAACGCTGCTTTGTTTGAAGAGGTGAATACGGTAAACATTCGAATGACTAATATTACCTCATCTAAGGTCTGTGCATCAGCGATAGTCACAATGTACTCTGAGGGTCCGACAAACGCCACGCAGTAGCTGTCCTGGCTGACCGTCACCGCATCTGGAGAATGGTCTGTGCCACGAGCGACCATGTCACCTAGTAAGAAAGAAACTACCGGTAAGTAATCTTTATAAAGCACGTTTCAGTCTCAGGTCACACAGAGCAGCAGTTATTTCCACGCACTCTGTAAAAGATTATATTGTATTTGAATGCTGGGGTCCAAAAGTCCGGCCTAAGTCTTCGGCAAGAAAGACTGCAGCAGATCCAGAGTAGTAGAATGAAAGGTTTATTGCAGCTTGAACAGGTTGGGATGGATGCGTGAAACAAGAGCGTGTGTGTGTGTGTGTGTGTGTGTGTGGTTATCTGTGAACACACAAATGTAACATTGGAATTATTATAAAGCCTACAAAGTACACCACAACATGCATATACATTAACAATGTTTATATGAATAAAATTAAACACTATAAACAACGTACAACACAACATCAAATGAATAATTATCATTGTTGCCCTTTGAAATGGCTCTGGATAGTTTTAATGTTATTACAAAGTATGTCCACCAGAGGGCGCTAAAGTGTGCTACATGACGTAAGGCACTGAGTGGACCGCATGGGTAATGGCGATCATGCAGGAAAGTTTCCAAAGAGATGAAAATGAACTACAAACATATGCTGCTAAGTACACAATGCAAGCTAAAGACAGGACTACACAATATACTGGTGTGGACATACTCACATAGTCATTAAACGCACAACAACACGATGTGAGAAAGCTAAGAGAGAGCACGCTCTTCACTCGTTGCCCTCCTACAGCAGACTGCCCACCTGGACTCCTGTGCGCATGTCAGTGAGGGGCGAACTGTTCTTAAAGGTACAGTGTCATTGAAGCAGGGAAATTTGCACAGCCGCCCCCGAAGTCCGAAGCGACTTTGAAAAGAATTCACAAATGTCCCTGCGGTCTGGCATCAGTCCTCTGGCATCTCGGGCAGCGAGATGAGTTTGGTTACCGGCCTAGTGTAAGTAGTCCCTTTAATGTCCACATCGGCAGAGCGGATTCGACCATCGTCACTTGGGATCACCTTAGTGACCCGACCAATGGGCCAACGTGCTCTTGGCAGTTGTTGATCCACAACCATGACCACCTGATCAGTGGTGAGGTCCGGCGTGTGAGTTTGCCATTTCCTCCTCTGGTGGAGGTTAGGCAGGTAGTTCCTTGTGAACTGGGTCCAGAAATGATCGGCTAACACCTGGCTGTGTTTCCAACGACGGCGTCCAATCAAGTCACTACTGGCATAGATGGCTTGCGGCAGAGAGGCATCCCGCCGCCCCATCAAAAGAAGGTTAGGAGTAATGGGGTCTGGGTCTGCAATGTCTGAAGTGGCATATCCAAGCGGTTTTGAGTTGAGGATACCTTCCACTTCTATGAGGACGGTCAGCAAGACCTCCTCAGGGAGCACTCTGTCTTTAAGAACGACTTGGAGGGCTGCTTTAACAGATTTGATCTCCCTCTCCCAAATACCTCCGAAATGCGGTGCATACGGTGGATTGTATTTGAAGGTGATTCTCTGCTCAGCCAGCTGCTCTTTCAAGGCTGGCTCCAGTACCTCAAATGCTCTCTGCAGTTCTCCGTCGCCCCCCCGGAAGTTAGTGGCTCTGTCGCTTAGGATCTCGTAAGGCTTGCCTCGTCTGGCCACAAAACGTCGTAAGGCAAGTAGGAATGAGTCTGTGTCCATACTGCACAAGAGGTCAAGGTGCACACATCTTGTTGTCAAACATTTGAAAATTATGCCCCACCTCTTCTCTTGTCTGCGACCTATTTTGACAGCATATGGTCCAAAACAGTCGATTCCTGTGGACCAATAAGGAGGTTTATGTAAGCGAAGGCGTGCATCTGGAAGGTCTGCCATACGTGGTACAGTGGGTTTGTTGCGCCATCTTTGGCACTCTGCACAGCTGCGTTGGTGCTTCTTTACAGCTTGGCGCCCACGGAGGATCCAATATGTCCGCCTTATTTCTGCGAACACACGTTCGGGACCAGGGTGCAGCAACTCGGTGTCGTAGTGTTGTATCAGCAGCCGGGTAGCAGGATGGTCAGGCGCTAGGACAATAGGATGTATCATGTCCGGAGAGCCTTCTACCTTCCTCAACCGACCACCAACACGCACCAAGCCCACCGCACTGTCATATTCTGGGCAAAGAGAAAGCAGACGACTGTTATTACTGAGTGGCTTACCTGTCTGCAGAGCAGCGACCTCTGCAGCGAAGCTCTCCTCCTGCGCTCGTCTGAGAACTGCAACTTCAGTCTCAATGCGGGCAGAGGCAGTCATCGGAGGAGCAGCCGTCCCGTGTTGGGACAGGTATGTCGCTTGGACCAGTTCAGACCAGGAGTTATATTGAGTCGGGTCTGGAGCTGTGGGCGTGGCCGTCACAAGACCACAAAAGGTCACGTCTCGGCTCTCTTCTGGTGGAACAGAGGCCGTAGCGGGCTTAACTGGCCATTCCCTGTGGGGCTGATACAGGAAACAAGGCCCACAGGTCCAGCGGCTGGGTTTTGCCAAGTCACTAAGATGTTTGCCACGCGTGACATCATCAGCAGCATTGTCATTGGTTGGAACATAGCGCCAATTGTCCGCACCCACCAGCTCCTGAATTTCAGCAACACGAGTCCCTACAAACACTTTGTACTGCTGTGACTCTGACTGGATCCAATGGAGGACAGTAGTTGAATCTGTCCACAGTGTTGTAGTTTTCAACGGCAGCGTTAGTTCTGTTTGGATGACCTTTGCTAACTGAGCACCAGCCAGAGCGGCGCACAGTTCCAATCGAGGGATGGAGAGCTGCTTCTTTGGGGCTACTCGGGACCTGGCCAGAACAAAGGACACTTGCAATGCACCTGTAAAGTCATGCTCTGCCCTCAAATATGCAACTGCACCATATGCTCTCTCTGAGGCGTCTGTGAAGATGTGCAACTCCAGTGGCGTGTCAGCTGGGACATTTGAGAGGTAACATCGGGGTATTGTCACATGCTGCAGCTGAGGTAGTTCACTCTCCCATGCCTGCCACACCGGAAGGAGCTCATCTGTGATTGGCTCATCCCAGTCTCGGCCTTTCTTCCACAGCGCTTGAACCAGCACCTTAGCACGGGTTGTGTAGGGAATAAGAAAGCCGAGTGGGTCATATTGGCTGGCCAGCACACGGTACACATACCTCAGAGTGGGTTGAGCAAGAGGAATAGCTCTATGTCTGTAACTGAGTGCGTCTGTGCTGCAGTTCCACAGAAGGCCCAGAGTAGACTCGAGAGGGTCTTCTTTATGAGCATTGAGCCATAACTCACAGGTGGCAGACTTTGCTTCAGCTGGCAGATGAGAGACAACATCAGGTACATTGGAGGACCACTGACGCATGTCAAAGCCTCCCTGGGCGAGGAGAGCTCTGAGCCTGTCGATGAGCTGTTTGGCCTGCTCTGGAGAGGGCAAGGACTGCAGGCAGTTGTCCACATACATAGATTGCAGCACTGTATTGACGATATCCTCATTACCTTCACTGTAGTCCTGTACGTGGCGCTGTAGTGCATATATAGCACAACATGGGCTGCATGTCGTACCAAAGGGTAACACACGCCACTCGTAGACATCAGGACTGCGCTCTCTGTCTCCATCTCTCCACAGGAAACGAAGCAGTGGTTGATCTTGTGGGAGGAGCCTCACTTGATGGAACATGCCTCGAATATCACCGTTGATGGCCACAGTATATTCCCTGAAACGCAGAAGCACTGCAAGGAGTGAAGAACCGAGAGTCGGGCCTGGCATGAGGTTCTTATTAAGGCAGGCCTGTTGATGCACAAAAGAACAGTTAAAAACAACTCTGGATTTATTATTGTGGAAAACGAGGTGGTGTGGCAGGAACCATGACTCGTCTGAGTTGTTTACTTCTTCTGGACTGATTTTCACTGCATAACCTGATCTGACTAGTTTGTCCATTTCTTCATTGTAAATAAGCAATTGTTCAGGATTATGTGTGAGGCGGCGCTCGGTGGCTCTAAGGAGAGGCATGACTGCATTAGGTGAAGCCAATAGGTGAGATGCATTTTTCTTTCGCAGGAGGGGGACTGCATATCGACTCACACCATCTACTGTGACCCTAACACTCTGCTGCTCTAGTTGTTCTAGTGCTGCTTTGTCTTCTCCAGAGCGAGTGACCTCTTTGGTGGAACGAAAGGGCAGTGAATCCAATTGCCACAGTCGTTCCACATGTTGATGTAGCTCCTCTGCAGGGGACAGAACTGATACGTGCAGGCAGCTGCTGTCACGAGGAGATTGTTGGAGGAAGCTGGCTGGTCCCTGCACTGCCCATCCCAGGGCTGTGCACACAGCGACAGGACCACCAATGGGGCCAGATATGACAGGTTTCTTTGGAATGATGAGATGTGGGTTGTCTGATCCAATGAGAATCAGTGGTTGGATTTTATTAAAGGACGACAGCGGAACGTCCCTTAAATGTCTGTAGCCTCTCTGGAGATGCTCAGGGGAACAGGATTGCTCAGCCAGATTCAACTCTGCAGCTGTAAACGCGTTGTGAACCTTGAATCTCAGTCCATTCTTTGTTGGGGATGACACTTGGAATGACACAGTGGCACCTTTAATTTGGACTACTTCCTGTCTTATTGTCCTTAGAGAGAGTACTTCCGGCTGTTGTTGGAGATCAAGCTGTTGAACGGCAGCAGGCAGGATAACAGTGCGCTCAGAGCCGTCATCCAACACTGCATGTGTGTCCATATATTTACTCCCATTGTATATGCGGACTGGCACTACTTTTAACATCACTCTGCCTGAGTGACTGGCTTGATCGACGAATACCATACTTGAGGTAGTGTTAACAGTCAGGATGCTCTCTGCCTGAGCCACATCATGCAGCACAGGAAGATGTTGTTCTCCGCAGGTAGAACAAGGCTTCTTTAATGTGCAGTTAGCTGGAGAATGTCCTCGGCCACACCTCCAACATTTCTTATTGTCCTTTATCCAAGCTGCCCTGGCTGGATTTGAGAGCTTGGTGAAGTCATCACACCCGTTGAGGTAGTGCTCCTGATTGCAGCAG